CCTTCCTTCCTCCATTGCAGATTTAGACACCACGGCACCCGGTCACGGAGGAGAAGCAAAGGCACACCGGCGGCCACGGAGGAGAGCAAGGGAGACATCCCCGGCGCAAGGAGGCGAAAATGGAGAGGGAAGGGATGGCGATGGGAGACGAGCGGAGGCCTGGGGTCGTCGGGGATGGGAGATGGCGATGTCGGAGAGGAATCAACGAGGAGAAACGACGCTATCTCTGACTCTGGCTCGCGGTGCCCGGTCGTCGAGGAGGGCGGGGAGGGGAGACGGAGTCATGGGGGAGGGTGGCTGGGGTTTGGATGGCGGAGGGCGAAGGTAATGGCAGAGCTGGGCTGGGATTTGAATGGCGGCTGGGCTGGGATTTGAGTACGAAGAAGAAAGAATTAAGGTTGGGGTTTTATTAAAAGGATGGTTGGTCGGTTATGTTCAGTTAGTCGGGTAACCGCGGTTAATCATACTCGGTTACTCGGCTAGCCGAAAACCAGCTTTATTCCACCGAACACCGACCGAGACAAATAACTGTCGGATTTAGGTTAGCTACTAACCTGCAGTTATCGGTTGAACCGGCCGGTTAGCCACTAACCGGAAACCGAACTGCCACCCCTAAATACCACCACCACCGCATCGCTGTCGTCGATCGTCGGAGACTTCCCCGGTTAGGTCTCCTCTTTTGCTGCCCCATTAGAACTATTCTGCCACATTCGATCTGCTTTTTCCAGGAGTCACTGGTGACTTCACTCAACTTTCTCCAACTGTCGGCTAATCCGTTCAGCAACCCCATATTGCCTAGCTATTTTTCCGACCAGTCCCTCAACGGAAAAAATAAAAATCTTTTTTTTTTTGATAAGGGTGAGAATTGCATTAAAATAGAACCAAAACGGAACCAGTCCGAGATACAGAAAGAAAAAAGCGGCACCAGAGGTGCAGCACCCACGGAAAAAAAAAAAAAAAAAAAAAAAAAAAAAAAAAAAAAAAAAAAAAAAAAAAAAAAAAACAGCCTGAAAAGGACAGCCACGCACAGAGAGCAAAGTCCCTCACGAAACAAGGACCAAGACCAAGACCAAACTGTCAAACTAACGGGAATCAAAGCCCCATCCGACCACAACCATCACTGAGAAGAGCAGAGGAAAACAGACAGAGAGAAGAAGAAGACAGGGGCGAGGCGCGGTCAACAACCCGGCCGCCACCAGCAACCCGAACCCGAACAAGGATACCAGAGGATTCCAACTAGCCCAGCACCTGAAAGGCAGCCGACAAACACGACAACAGCCAGCGAACGAACCCACGGCAACAACCCCACCGAAAAATGCCCCTGTGTCAGTTCAGCCTCAAGGGGCGGAGCCACTCCATCACCTGAATCCTGCTGATCTTGCCTTTCGCGACTAGCCAATCCGCCGTGGATCTGATAGCAATCCAAAAGACCTCCTTGGCGCTTCTGCTAGCATCCTGGAAAACACGCCTATTCCTCTCGAGCCAAATTTGCCAGCACACGGCGTGGAGAATGCAGAAGCCGATCCAGTCCGTCGTAGTGTCCGGAACATCACTCTTCCAACACTTGATGGTGTCTAGGATCTGCTCTTGTGGGGCGAAGGAATCACCACACATTCTTCTTACTTCAGTCCAGATCTCCAACCCGAACTCGCACCGAGTAAACAAATGATCAACCGATTCTTCATCCCTACAACACATACAACATCTGTTAGCAATGGAGCAGCCCCTCTGTTGAATTTTGTCCATCGTCAATATCCTCTTGTGCGCGACCATCCACATGAACGCATTGATTTTCGAAGGAATGCTCTTTCTCCACACGGATTCACTAGGGAAGTTGGGCACCCCATGGAATCGCCCATCCGTCAATAACCTGTACATGGAGCGCACTGAAAAGCTCGAATCGGGATTAGAACACCACGCCAATCTGCTGGGGCCGCAAACGATCCTGTGCTTATCAATAGAATTCAAAAGAGTGAAGAAACTCTCTCTCTCCCTCTCAGCCCCTCCCCTCAAGACTAAAGAAAAATCGATATTCCACTCAATATTCCAATTAGGACCCTCACCTGATCGGCTTATGACATCAGGCAGCAAAGCCTCGGGATTCGCAGCGGCAGCGGCAACTCTCGGGAAGGAATGCGCAAGAGTCGTCTGAGGTAACCAGCAGTCGTTCCAAAAGGAAACACCCGCCCCGCCACCCGGGTCAATAACTGCCACTTTCCAGAATTCACCGTATTCCTTAGAGATGTTGGCCCACACCGAACTTCCAAACCCATTCCTGCACTGTTTGCTCTGCCACTGGGAATTGCTAGCCTTGTATTTGAACTCTATGAGTTGTCTCCACCAGCTCTCTCTCTCCGTAGCGTACTTCCAAAGCCATTTAGACAGCATAGCTTTGTTAAAGCAGGCCATATCTCTAATACCCAAGCCCCCATTCTCAATACTTGCTTTGCAAATCTCCCACTTAATGAGCGGAGTCTTGTGATTATCCCCGGCACCGCTCCACAAAAATCTTCTTTGGATTGCCTCAATCCTGTTCAGCACACCGATAGGAGCCCGAAGTAAGGAGAAGAAATAAATCGGCTGCCCGGAAAGAGTACTTTTGTTCAACACCAAACGGCCACCGAAAGACAGAAATCTACTCTTCCATCCGTCAAGCCTCTGCTCAAACTTATTGATAATAGGATCCCAAGTGGAGATAGCATTGACCTTGGCGCCAAGAGGGAAGCCAAGGTATTTCGAGGGCTCGTTGCTCCAATTACACCCAAAAGTAGCAGCAAAGAATTCCGGAATCGCTACATCCCCAACAGTAATCATGACCGACTTCTCAAGGTTAATCCTCAGTCCCGTAACACTTTGGAAACACACCAAAGTAGCGAGAATATTCAGAACTTGATCATAAGCAGCGTCGCAGAAGATCAAAGTGTCATCGGCGAACAGAAGATGTGTAACCTCACCATTGCCATTTACTTCGTCCATACAAAAGCCTCTAATCTTCCCCTCCTCCTGCAATTTGTTCAACATGAAGGAAAGAATGTCCATAATGAGAGTGAACAAACCGGGAGAGAGCGAATCACCCTGACGCAACCCCTTCTGCGGCTTGAAGTACCCCTTCGACTCGCCGTTGATCAAGGTGGATATGACCGGGGAACACATAGTACCTTTGATCCATTTATTCCACTGTGCCGGGAAACCGATAGATGACATAGTCTTAAACAAGCAGTCCCAGCTCACGTTGTCAAATGCCTTTTCGATATCCAGCTTAAACATAAGTCCCGGCTTGCGACTCTTCCTGCGGCTGTCCAGCAGTTCGAAAGCAATAAGACCAGCCTCAGAGATCTGCCTTCCTCTAACCGAAGCATGCTGGTTCTGAGACACAATCTTGGGAAGAACATTGCTGAGACGACGGGCCAGCACCTTGCTAATAATTTTATTCAAGCTGCTCATCAGGCTAATAGGGCGGAGATCCTTGATGTCCTCCACGGCATCACGCTTCGGCAGGAGACAAAGAAATGAGTGTGTAGCACACTCCGGCAGAACACCAGTATTGAAAAAATCAGCAATGGCGTTCAAGAACTCCTCCCGGATGAGAGACCAAGCCTTTTTGTAGAACTCCCAGGAAAACCCGTCCGGCCCGGGGGCTTTCCCCCCGTCGCAGTCCGCCAAGCTGACCCAAACCTCCTTTTCCGAAAAAGCACAGGTCAAGGCCGCAATATCAGCGGCATCAATTCTCCTATCGGTGTGCGACCTCGGAAAAGGACGCCTCGAAACAGTATCCTTGAACAAATTCTGGTAATACCCCACTATGCCTCTGCCGAGAAGCTCCCTCCCTTCATGCCTAGCTCCATTGATGTTGATGCAATCGATCAAATTGAGCTTTCTTTTATAATTAGCAACCCTGTGGAAGAAGCTAGTATTGTTATCTCCTCCCTTCAGCCACAATTCTTTAGACAACTGTCTCCAATGAATCTCTTGGAGGAAAAAGAGCCTGCTCAAAACAGCTCTCAAATCCTGCCTGTCTGCTTGTTCCGCATCTGTAAGTGAACGGGATTCCTCCACCATGTCCAGCCCCTTGATAAGACCAAGAGACTCCTCGATCTTCGAATTGATATTGCCAAAAACCTCTTTATTCCATATTCTGATAGTCTGTTTCAGATTCTGAAGCCTCTTAACCCACAGGAAAGCTTTACCGTGCCCACTCACCGTGCTCCTCATCCACATTTCGAGACCCTCAAAGAATCTCGGGTCCTCCAGCCACATGTTCAGAAACCTCCATGGCCTTCGGACCCTAAGCGTAGCACCCCATTTGATCAACAAGGGATTATGATCCGATTCAACCCTTTCCATAGCCGTCAAAGTGCAATCAGGATACAAAGCATCAAAAGTCGCATTAATAAAAACTCTGTCAATACGCGAGAGGGACCCCGAACCGTCCCCTCTTCCCCACGTAAAGTTACAGCCTCCGAGAGGTAGTTCTAAAAGCTGGTTATTATCGATCACATCGTTGAATTTTTCCATCAACATCGTGCACCGCCTCCCACCCCTGTAATCCTCGTGGCCTCTAACAAGGTTGAAGTCACCTGCAATACAAAGGGGGTTGGCCGCGCTCAGACACAAGGAGTGAATTTCGTTGATGAACTCCAGTTTAGCTTCCCTCTCTTGAGGCCCATACACGACAGAGAGAGTCCAAACTTTTAGTGTGTTCACCTCCTGAAGATCGACAGACAAATGGAATCTCCCCTCCCTATACGCGAGAGCTCTCACAACTTCCTTGTCCCAGTAAACAGCTATCCCACCTGCGCTATTCTCCGCATTTTTTGCTGCCCAACCACTGTCCCTGTTTCCGCTGATGCTCCTGATCAGCTCATCATTGCAAACATTCCACTTGGTCTCAACGAGTCCAACGATCTTCGGTTTCCTCAAACACAGTACGCGCTTAATCCTGGACCTTTTCGCACTATCACCCAACCCCCTTACATTCCACACAATCACAGAGCACTCCATTATACTGGTTCAGCATGTTCATCCCCACCCCTTCTGCGGCTCCTGCGATCACCTGAAACTGGCACCTCAATCAATCCTAGTCTGTGTCTTTCCATTTCAAGTTTGGACCTGGGTTGGCGCACTTTTCTCTGATGCATTTCCCTGGCGGTATTCTCTATCAATTTCACCACATTATCCGCTCCACCCTCCATTTCAATCTTGAATAAACTGCTCAATTCAATGCTGGTGGCCACGAGAGTTGCTGCGTCAAAGGGGAAATCGTCTTGACTTCCCACCCTAGCTTGACTGTCCGGAACGCACGAGGGGGAAGGAAAATCAAAATCCCCGAAGCTGGAACTCAACGCGAAATGCGAACCGGGGGATGAAGGCGGGCTGGTTAGATCTGAGCACTGACTGTGAAAGGAGGAGGGAGGAGAGGTAATGGCCAGGGGGACTGGAACAGATGGGTCATCGGAGTATATGGATCGGGAAGAAGGTGAGGTTAGACCAAAAGAGATAATACAAAACGGTGGGCAAAGGTTGCGAATTGGAGCAACAGAATTAGCGGGTCTAACCCCTGGAATGAAAACCGAACAAAGCCAACCCAATTCGTCCACAGCAGGGTTAAATCTGGGCCCGGGCCTGGACAACAACTGGTACACGGACCTAAGCATATTCACACTGACCTCCTGCACACAAGGCGTGGGCCCAGGCCTGTACAAGGCCCAGTCCTCCTCCACACAAGCAGACCCCCGTGAAAGGCCCAGAGGGGGGCGGTTGATAGGGCCGAACTTCCTGACCCATATTTTCCTCCCAAGCCGCCTGGGGCCTGCGAAGTAGTTGACGTTATCGGTGAGCTGCTGTTGGCCGGGTCCCACCGCCGAAAGAGAATCAGCACGCCTCGGGGTATCCACCAATTGATTCACCCTCGGTCGCTTCAACATGTGGCCTTGCATTGGATGCATGGGGGCATTGCACGATGCAAGGCGTTTCAACTCCCCGCTTGAATCGGCTTCCGAGGCGGGTCTCCCTTTCTGAGCGGACATCGGCGCCGTGATGATTCGGATCGAGAACCGCTCCCCGGTGAAAAAATAAAAATCTTAATTCGCAATTCTACTCGCAAGCACCCATTTAGAAGCTGGTAATGGGCCAATACCAATATGTAATTCCCATTTGGAAAAAGGAGAAAGTGGATCGAACCAACACTGATTTGTCGAACTTATAATTCCTAATATAAGAACCACAAAGGAAAGATCTCCAAGTTTTTAAATCTAAAAACCTCTGTTTTCCTTTCTTATTAACAGAGATGGCAGCAGTTGCAATTATAACGCCTTTATACTTGCAATCATTTAGTTGCAGAGAGTGGATGCACCTCTCTACTTCGTACACACACAACAATGGCGGGTGAGCTAGCAACCGCAACTCGAGACGGCGAGTGAAATTGGCGGCGCTTGGATGGAGAAGAGAGGTTTATGGCGTGTAATAGAGCTGCAAAACAATTAGCGAGGACCAAAAATCGAGCTAGTGAAGCTAGAAACATCCGAGGGGAGAAGTTGAGGAAACAAGGCTCCGGGGGATTTAATCATGGGCTTCAGAATTAGATCCGGACACGGATAGGCAGCCGATTAAACGAGAACAGAGAAAACTGGACTAAAGTGAGGGTCTCTGGTTGTTGATGGGAATGCAGATATTTGGGGACGATGAGGTTTGACATGTCTTTTACCATTTATTATGTTGACCAAAATCTGGTTGAACCAAATTTAACAGTTATAGACGGCAAAACGGATGGAAGGGTGTGTTTGAGAAGCGTTTTATTGTACGAGGGTAAACTTGATGTGATTCGTAATAGAGGGGCATGTTTGAGAAAGATGCAAAGTAGAAAGGCATATTATACATATAACTCATTAAACAATCAAATCTAATTTATATATTTAATTAATAATTTCAAAATTAATTAATTTTGTATTCGATAATACTGGTTGGGATACACAAGTACCGATTGGGATACCGAAATATTTAGCGATTGAGATTGGAATACCGAAACTATATTGAGATTGAGATTGATTTTAGAGTGTAATTCAGTATTCAAGTTTTCATTATTTGGTACTGGGATGCCGATACCATATCTATTTCCACCCCTACCTGTATGGTTCGATTCGGATTATCAGAGGCTAGAGGCCACCACCTCTAGTCCTTATGCTCTGAGAGTCCGCCAAACTGCCAAAGCATGAATCAAGCTTTTTCCCAGTGACTGAACCGGCGGTAAAACAATTAAAAAAAAAAAATACTTCTTGTTGTGTCTACTTAACCCTGCAGGTCTGCTCTCTTGTCTCCTTCTCCAGAGGGATATCTATTTTATCATTCTCAGCGGGCCACAGCTATTTATCATAAGCTCCCAAAACACACATTCGCTTTAGCGTCCCAAACGAAGCGGCAAACGGCAATGAGCTCTCATCAGAAACCATCCACCGCAGGGAAACCGATTCGCTGCAAAGGTATCCATCCGAATCTCTGATCCGCTTTATCCTAATCATCAATCAGTTAATCAATCGAGTAATTAGTACGGCTGTGGAACGCAACGCAGCCGCGGTTTGTCGCGTGGCCGGAGCGCCGCTGGTGATGGAGGAAGTAACGGTGGCTCCGCCGCAGGCGCACGAAGCGCGGATTCGAATCGTCTGCACGTCGCTCTGCCAGAGCGACGTTACTTTCTGGAAGCTGAAGGATTTCCCCGGGATTACGCCGAGGATTCTCGGCCATGAAGCGATTGGGTAAGTCATTTTTTTTTATTTTTGTCCTTTGTGCCTCTTTTTTAGTTGTTCATTTTGTTCCCGGGGGCGGCGGCCGCCGGGTTTTCGCCGGCGTTGACAGAGTTTAGGAGCGTCGCGCACTCGCATTTCCCCTTTCCTTTTTTTTTTGTTTATTAATTAAATATGAATTTGGACGAAAGGTTCAAAGAAAATGTTTCTGAACGAGAGCACATACCAGCTATAGTAATATAATAATTTAATTAAAGTAAAACATTATTTATGCGCACAATACCAACGCCGCCCTTGATAGTGACGAAATTAAGGAGGTCATCAGCTGAATATATGAAAACGATGTAGAAGTGCTTTTTTTTTGGCTGAAATCTAAGCATAATCGTAATGTTTTATTTTAATAGAGTCATACTCAGACAAACACATAGTTAGTGAAATCGGATGAGCTGGTTAGGTGTCATCAATACATAAGTTAGGATTTTATATACTGTGTAGTATAATTAGATGAGTTGTTTCAATTTTTGAATTTGAAAAATACATTGTTTGAAAATTGAATGAGGTTGGTGGTCTCTCAAAGAATAAGGAAAAAAAGTAAGTTGAAAATTCCTCAAATACAATATTTGCTAAAAGCTGTGATTGACAATCATTCATAATGAATGATTCTAGTGGTCACATATGGTGTTCAAATACAACCATTCTGTTTTATTTTAAGACAAACAAATGATAAATTCTTCTGATTTCATGTATTTGATAAATACATTATATGGAATTCCAACTTCCAAATGATCCCTTAGTTTTATATGTCATTTTAATATAATATATAGTATGTTATACGTTCAACATTAGTCATAAAATAATAGGAACCTATAATTTAAAAGTGGGTATATATGTGAAGTTATTAAATTTATCCATTGTACACATACGAGTATGACATGGATTTTTGCTAACTGTGGCCAACCATCACTTGTAGAGGATTTTGTTAATCATTAAAAGAATAAGGCTTGTGGTACAATCCAAAACCTAAGTCCTACAAAACTCATAAAATACGTGTCTTACTATTCTTGCTAGGATGGTAAGATTTTTACAGAGGTGGTAAGATACGAGTTTTGTAGGTTATGTAGTTCTAGATTTTGTACCTATTATTTTCGTAAAAATAATTAAACAATTTAAATAATATTACGTTCATTAAATGCTAATTTTCCTGTAAAAAACATTAGATGCTAGTTTTGGGCCAATATGTTAAAAAAATTATTATATTTGTATAGCCCGAAACTTTTACAAATTAAATATCCTGACCAATTTTTTTGATCTATAACATCGTGGTCTCAACTATTCATCAAAGTTATGAAATCGGTCAAACCTGAAATTTGAACGTTATCTTGGACGGTCAACGCGCCATGTAACTGTCAAGTCAGCACAGACCACTTAAAATTTTTGATTTTTTCACCTATTATTATTTATCTTTTTTTATTTTGAAAAAAAAAAGAAAAAAAAAGGAACGATCGTCTTTATTTTGAAAAAGATAAATGGTAATAAGTTGAAAAAACCAAAAAATTTAAGTTGTTTTTGCTGACTTGGCAGTGACGTGGCGCGTTGACCGTTAGTCAACGTATTTGACCATCTAAGATAATAGTCAAATATTGGGTTTGGCCAATTTCGTAACTTTGATGCATAGTTGAGGCCACGATGTTATAGATTGAAAAGATTGGTCATCATGTCTAATTTGTTAAAAGTTTGGGCCATACAAATATCAACCCTAAAAAAATAGGTAATTCTTAATTCGGCCACAGATCCAGTATTTGGCCAGATCCGCTTTGGAAGCGAACCAACAAAAACTAAAGGCCCGGCAAAGTTCAAAATTTTCGGAATCCCGTGGATAATGTCACGATTCAAAATGTCCGTGACATTAAGGTAAGGAAACTCTTACCAGCATGGTTGTCATGCCGGTGGCATGCCACCCGGTTGAACCTGGTTCAACCTGTGCCGGTCATGAAACCGGCATGACACCACCGGTATGACCGGTATGATTGACTTACGCATTCTAAGTAAAATGACATCATTTTAATGAACTTAATGAATAATAAAATTAATTTATTATTCATTTTATGAATGTAATAGCTAAAAGTTGATGATAATTGTTGGATTGTAACTAAATTGTCCAGAAATATGTTTTATATATGATTAAATACATTAGATATTAATTGTTTTCACTTTTTTTTACCCGACACAAACTGGTTATATCACCGGTCGTATCATTCCACTTGCAAAACCGGCACAACGGTATAAACCGGTTTGATAGCCTTGTTTCCAGCGACGTATTTTCCCCAGTTTTGAACTCACCCGTTAATCTCTACAGGATCGTGGAGAGCGTGGGAGCTGAAGTCACCGAGTTAACTGAAGGCGACACAGTGATCCCCGTCTTCCTTTCAGACTGTGGAGAATGCTCGGATTGCCTGTCCAAGAAGAGCAATCTCTGCTCGAAGCTCCCTTTCAAGGTCTCTCCATGGATGCCGAGAGACGGCACCAGCCGATTCACGGACCTCGATGGGAACACCATCCACCATTTCCTCTCCGTCTCCAGCTTCAGCGAGTACACCGTCGTGGACATCGCTCATCTCACCAAGATCGATCTCGACGGCGACGTCCAGATGAACAGAGCTTGCCTCCTCAGCTGTGGCGTCTCCACCGGTAAATTCTGAAATGCAATCAAAGAACATTAGGGTTTCCTCTTTTTTCATTTAGGTTGCTAATTTGCTATTATGTGATGATTTAAGTAGTTAATTCAATGGTAGTTGGAGATTGGGAACCGGATATATCTAACAATGACAGCAAAGCCATTGGAGTTTTGGTGTTTAGTAGTTCAATTAAATAGCTCGAACCATTCAGAAAAGTTGGATTAAAGCTTATGTGATGTCTCTAACGAGTCCATGGCGGCTTGGATGGTAAGGTGTGGGTGCTGCGTGGAGAACTGCTGATGTTGAAGAAGGAACAACGGTGGTAATCTTCGGGCTGGGTTCAATTGGATTAGCGGTAATGTAACTGTTTTGAGAGTGAATGAAGTTTTCATCAATTTAGTAGATGGGTTTGGATTAGTTTTTTTTTTTTTTTATGGATTCCTGAATTAGTTTTTTGCTTGAACCTTTTCAGGTTGCTGAGGGTGCCAGGATACGTGGTGCTGCTAGAATCATAGGCATAGATATGAAGCCAGAGAAGTTTGATGTTGGTGAGAACTTATTAGGCTAAAATTTTGGCAAAATTAAAAATGTTGAACCAGTCATTTGCTTAGAATTGGATTCTGATGTGTGTCATTGCCTGTTTGGAATCAGGGAAAAAGTTTGGAATCACCGAGTTTGTCAATCCTGCAGATTGTGGAGATAAACCCTTGAGCCAGGTTCATCTCTAGCTAGTCATTTTATCTTGTGCTTGAACTCTAACAGCTTAGCCATAGATGCATACATGCTTAGAGATACTAAAAGAACAAAAGCCAATAACACTTCTGAGAGTTGTTATGATATATTGGGGGATATATTACTTTTTGCTAAGCTCTGGTTAACAGTAAATCCAGCTTTGTAGCTCTACATTTCTTTTTCTCCATTTCCATAGTTTGTGACATGGTTCTATTGTTAGATGTGGTTATTCTCATTTGTTCTTGTCAATTAGAGGACTTCAGAGTTCAGATGGTTGCTTTAAGCTGTTTAGAGTGTATTGAACTCCAGGTGATCAACGAGATGACAAAAGGAGGAGCTGATTATTGCTTTGAATGTGTTGGTCTGCCATCTTTAATGGAGGAGGCATATGCTTGTTGCCGCAAGGTCTACAAATAACCCTCTTCTCCTCCCTCCTTGCTTCCCATTTCTGTATTACCAATGTTATTCATCAATAGTTTTCATTGTTGCTTGCGGTAAATACTCAGGGATGGGGGAAGACAATTGTCCTAGGAGTTGCCAGACCAATGTCTGAGATGAAGCTCGAATGCTTCAAGGTCCTTCACTTTGGGAAAATACTTACAGGCTCGCTTTTTGGTGGTCTCAAACCCAAGTCCGATATTCCAATGCTCTTAAAACGTTACATGGACAGGGTAAAGTCTCATTTCCCCCTTTTCCTTATAAGGAGAGTCATATAGCTTTACTCCCCAGTAGGGTAGGGAAGGATTTGGTCTGGATTGAATTGACGCTTGAAATAGACTACTTTGGATGGTTGAGTCGTTAGCTCAATTCATTTTTTATAATATCATATAAAAAGAAGATTTCGATATAATAATCTTTGTATATCTATCAAATTCTGAAATTGGGCCCGATCCTTTAATTTCAGAACATTTTGGTTTTTGTTTGAACAGATCAGATTGAATCCAATGTTTTCAATTTGATTTGTATCTTATTCTCTCCTTCATTTTAAATCCGATTTCTTGGTCTCACTAAATCAAACGGTTCAATAGGCCATGGTGGAACTTAGCAAGAACTGAGAGTGGGCTTACAAGTTTATACTTGTTTATTTCTTTTCAGGATCTTGAGCTAGATAAATTTGTGACCCATGAGTTGGATTTCGAAGAGATCAACACAGCCTTTGATCTGCTCGTTGAAGGCAAGTCTCTCCGTTGTGTCATGTGGATGGACAGGTAAGGCTTTGATTTTCACCGGTTCCTTTCTGCAAAAAACTAGTTGTCTCAGTAATCGAAGTTGTGTACTTTCGACTTTTCAAACTTCTGTACTAAATACTAATAGGACTGATGATGTTCAAAACATGAAAGAAAGAAGCAACGGAATAAAGTAAGGGCTATTCTTGTTAGACTAATTGTCATGTTCCAGATAGCATGTGGGAGAGTTTCTTAACTCCAAGAAGCATGTATATTTTATGAGCTCGTAAGGGCTTTTCATGTTACACTAAATTGTCTAGTTCCAGATAGATGGTAGGGAGAGTTTCAATACCCTTCTCATGCTCGAACTCGATACCCTTCTGTTCTTTATCATGCTCGAACTCGATACCCTTCCTTTACGTATAAAATACATGGATTCTTCGGGTTTTTCTTTACCTACAACATGTTTCATACAATATTTAAGCTACTGAAAATCCACCAGAAGCACCAGTAAAAATTTTCATCAGCAGAGACTGTTGTCTCCCTTGTCGAACCAAAATGCCTTAGCCTCATCATGAATCTCCCACCCTATAGTTTGGCAAGCTAGAGTCAGTCTTATCATCAACTCCCCACTTGAACAGCAAGCAGAAATCATCATCATAAAATGCTGGAACCCATTTTTCTCCACTTTGAAGCATCACCACAGCAAATGTAACCTCTGTTAGTAGATCGTACCTAGGGTTAGCGCGCACCCATAAGGTAGCAATGACTCGATCTCCCTTCTTGAAATGACCATCTTTCTGTTGAGCCGCATCCTGTTTTATACGCCAACGAGCTCGATTGACAATTCGAGTTTGGATGAAAGATCAGGTGGGTATTAACGTGGACGCGTTGCTGTTACTCTCTCCCCTGGCCATCTGCGTCACAAGTTTGTTAAATTCGTGGATGTATCCTGATAACGTAGGAGGGCTGTATAGTGTTGAGGCCACCTGCACATGTTTTGGTGATAGAATTAAGCATTCAAATGACAGGATAAGTTCATGACTTTTTAAGGACTGATAAGTTTCGTGGAGTGGTGATATTTGAAACATCTTGATTCGACCTGTGTTAAATTGCCTCTTTCAGCAGGATTTGTACTTTGGAGAGGTATTGAATCTGTGAATTGGACTCTGCTTCTACATATGATTGTAGAGGCACGGTGGGAAAGTGGGTGAGCTTTGGGGATGCATTGACACTGACGTTAAAACTTGCTTAGTAAAGCAAAGCCCTCTCAGAAACAGAGTAAGCAACAGGTTCCCTTGTGAAGGTATATTTTTCAGGACTTGTAACTTAGTACGGTCGGCCGTTCACCAATGATTTTGGGCCTATCCTAGTGTCTTGCAAGCTGAAGCCCATAGTATTTGTGAATTAGCCCAAGAATGAACTTGCACCAAGCTGAACTTGCACTATCCGCTCTTGTTCCGATCCGTTGTCATCCCTACTCATAGTTAGGAAACACTCTCAATGTAGTCCTCTTTCACTCCTCGCACCAAGAATGTGTCACCCGAGACGAAAATTTTGTTTACTGAAATTGAGTTGGTTAAAATGTTTATATCATTCCCCAACCTGGTCACGAATGATATGAATCGGGATCTTTGTGCAAATGTTGATAATGAAGAAATCAGAAAAGTTGTTTTTCAGTTGGGACATTCAAAGGCCCCGGGACTGGATGGTTTTCCTGGGTTCTTCTTCAGGAAATTCTGGCCTCATATTGGGGAGCAGTTTTGTGAGGAAGTCAGGGTTTTTTTTTTTGCTTCTAATCGTCTTCCTAAGGGGTGGAATGACACTCATATTTCGCTGGTCCCCAAAGTGGAGGTCCCGGAATATGTTAGCCATTTTCGCCCGATCAGTTGCTGCAATTTCCGGTATAAGGTCATTACCAAAATTATGACCTCAAGATTGCAAAAATGGCTCTCTGATCTGGTCTCAGAACTTCAGACGGCCTTCACCGCCGGGGGGGGGGGGGGGATAATTTCAAGACAACGTTATGATTGTGCACGAAGTTCTGAATCATTTCAAGAAGCATAAAGTGGGGAAACGACAAGACATGATGCTCAAACTCGACATGAGAAAAACATATGATCTGGTGAATTTGGGATTGCCTTGATAAAATCTTCGATCTTTATGGTTTTGATCCGAAATGGTGTGCTTGGGTCAACAAATGCATTAGAACTGTAAAGTTCTCACTTCTGTTCAATGGTGAAGCTTCACCAAAGTTTGCACCAACAAGAGGGATTCGTCAGGGGGACCCTCTCTCCCCCTTCTCTTTATCCTCCTTTCAAATGCTCTTTTTTCTCATTGATAAGGCTGCAAGTTTGAATGTTTTTCGAGGAATTAAGTTGAACCGAAACGGCCCTACTCTTATCCATTGCCTTTTTGCAGATGATACTGTTATCTTTGGAAGTGCTACCGAAGAGGAAGCGATCAGTATCATGCATATCATCTCGTCCTACAGCAATATTACTGGTCAAGAAGTGAACAACATGAAATCATCCATCTTTTTCAGTTGCAATGTCGATGATGAGAAAAAAGCTCAAATCACGCAGATCTTGGATTCAACTCTTCGACCTGCCATGCTAAGTATCTTGGGGTCCCTACGAAATGAGGCGGGTGTAAAAGAGAAACGTTTGCATTTCTTATCACCAGAATGGAGAAAAAAGCTGAAGCTTGGAAGAGCCTATTACTGTCCCCGGGACGGAAGGAAACTCTCCTGAAAGCTGTGATCCAGGCTATCCCGACATACATTATGTGCCTTTTTCTCATGTCGTGATCAACCACAAAAAGGATGGACTCTTTTCTTCGGAGATTTTTCTGGTCAAGATCTCTCCACATGAAAGCTATCCACTGGTGTGATGCAAAGGTTCTTTGTGCTCCAAAAGAGGAAGGAGGGATTGGGTTCAGATCTTTCAAAGAATTCAATCTTGCTTTACTTGCAAAACAAGCCTGGAGGATTCTTGAGAACCCGAATGCTCTGTGGGTGCGCTTGCTGAAGGGACTCTACTTCCCAAGCTCTGATTTCCTCCATGTTAAGAAAGGAGGTCGAGCGTCTTGGATTTGGGCTAGCCTTTGAGAAGCAAAGCGGATGATGGAGCTTGGTATCATCAGAGTCATTGGTAATGGTGAGTCCACCAGTTTCTTTCATGATCAATGAATTCCCCACATTCCAGGGGGAAAGCTCAATGGGTCTGTGAATCAACAAGAACGAGTGGTGGAGTTCATCAACATGAATGAGAGAACATGGAATGAGCCTGCCCTTCGCCAAAAAGCTCCCCCAGTCTTTGTCTAAGACATCAAACGAGTCCCCATTGGCTTAGCAGATGCCCCGGACTTTTGGGATTGGAGATTCACCACCAAAGGCAACTTCTCAATGGCTTCAGCTTTCCATGCCTTCAACGACAAGATAAGAACTCAAATGACAGGCTATCTCCCCCCATCGGTTCATGATAAAGAGAGATGGAAATGGATCTGGAAACTCTCCCTCCCTCCAAAGTTGAAATTCTTCGTCTGGAAGTGTGCAATGAAAGATTTGGCGACTAAAAGTCTGTTGTTCAGCCGCAAATGCTCCCCAAACCCCATCTGCCCTGTCTGTTTGGCTGCGGAGGAGTTCATCCATCATTGTTTGTTTGAGTGCCACCATGCTAGGGAGGTTTGGCACATGATCTTTCCCTCTTTGGCCACTGCCCCTGCTAACTCCAACATTATCCATTGGCTGTTCCATCTGAAGGACATGATCCCTTCCCATTCAATCATTCTCATCATCTTCACCCTTTGGAATATTTGAAAGACTAGAAACGAGAAAGTTTTTCGCAGCGCAATTCCTTGGCCTCCTCTCACATGTTCCAATGCAGCAAGAGATGCCAATGAATGGTCGACGTGCATACTCCTCGGACTACCTCGTCTATTCCCGATGTCTAGCCTATTCACCCCTAGTATCAGCCTACACCACTGTTGAGTAAACCCTCATGGGAGGTTCACTGTGATGGATCGTTCTTAAACGATTCCTAGGAGGCGGCCTATGGCATTGTTGTCATCAATAGCCATGGTCAAGTCTGTGATGGGAGAGCTGGAACTTTGCTTTGCGGTGCCCCAATTGAAGCTGAAGCAAAATAACTACATGAAGCTCTGATTTTTGCCCAAACTCTCCCGGGTTCTGTGATTGTTCGTTCTGACTGCCAGGTGCTGGTCAAAGCACTGTTGTCTCCCCATCACCCAAGGTCGTGGAATTGTGCGGCTCTGTTGGGAGTTATGAAGGACATTCTCAGGAGATTTCGCTTGATCGATGTCAGGTTTATTCGGAGGAATCTCAACGTTAGAGCAGACTAGGTCGCAAGATCGTTGGCCCATAATTCTCTTCCTGATGACTGGATTGTTGTTCTGGGTTTAATTTCAGACTCTCTTCTGTAATGGTTGTTGCCTTAACTTTGATCAAGGAATGCAATATAAGCGGCCCCTTGTCAAAAAAAAAAAAACATGATTCAACTTAACTGGCAGAGTGACTCAAGTTGTAAGGCATGTGGTTGATACGGTCTATTCTCATATTCAATGCTCACAATTGACTATTATGAGGGCACAATTCTTGGTGATCATCAACATGGGTTGTAAGCTCGAATGGTCCGCTCTCATGATTTTTGTGTGTGGATATTTATACGAATCGAGATAATTTTGATGTGCACCAAAGTCTCTTACCACAAAAAATAAATAAAGTAAGATTTGAATTCTGTCAATTAGCCCGAGACAATGTAAGCTGAATGTGCTTATCATCAGATTATCCTAGATTTTAAATTTTTTTTTTGAATGGAAACTGTATTAATTAATTAGAATGCAAAGTTGGAGTTTCCTCCCATGTCCTCCCTAAGAAGGGTTACAAGAAATTGAGGTGGATTATCCACCCATATCTCCTCACTCTCCCAATCACACTCAACATGGGCCATCAGATGGGCTGGTCCATTAAACTTTCGGCCCACAAAGTTCCACTGAACATGGTTCAGGGTTTGGGCTACGGCCCGTAGTTCAGCACAGATCAATCCGCTCTCAGTCTCCCTGTCTTCTTCTCTTTGAAGTTGTTGAATTATTCCTTGGCAATCGGATTCCATTTCCATTTCCAGTATCCCAAACCTTCTAGCCAAATCCAGACCAAATCCGATCGCCATGGCCTCTGCTTCCTCAGGGTTCCATTGGGTTCTGGATCGTCGAACTCCAGCGAACAAAAACCTCCCTTCTCCGTCTCTGATTACCGCACCCCACCCCGTTCCTCTGTCCGATATACAAGCTGCATCAACATTTATCTTCACCGGAGCCGACTGTGGCGGCTTCCATCCTTGTACCTCGTTCCTTGCCATCAACCGAGGGCTCGACTGTTTCTCCAGGTAATCCTTCAGCCAATTGCTCGCCCTGGGCAAAATTTCCCACTCTTCTAACTTCTTTTTGTTCCACAGATGGCAATTGCGCTGGTCCCAGATGTACCAAAGCGCCACAAGGAATTCGCCCAGCATTTCGTCAGATTCCGACTCTTGGAGCTCACAGTACCATTCTTCTGAGGTAAGATCTTCCCCCTTGCTATGTATGGATCCATAGGGCTAGTTCTCCAAACCCTTCGAACCCAATCACATTCTCAAAAGATGTGGTTTTGCGTTTCTCTGAGGCCACAGAAGGGGCATTGTTCACTTCCTTTCTGCATTCGATCATATATCCTAGCACCCGTAGGGATTATATTCCTTAGCCATCGCCAAGCAAAGATCCGCACTTTAGGAGGGATTCCTAGGCCCCAGAACCTTTTCCAATTTACTGGCAAGTAAACTTCCCCCAATTCTTCTTCATTTCTACTTTCCCACAGTCTGTATGCTGATTTCACCGTGTATTTCCCTGTCTTTTCCACTCCCCAAATTAACTTATCTGCAGTAGGTTGCCTGGGGATGGGAATCTTCTGTATGTTTATGCGATCCCTAGGGTTGAAATGCCTCTGGAGCACATCTGTGCGCCAGCTCCTCCCTTCCAAGTCAATTAGTTCAGCTACTGAGGTCGAAACATCCCAGTTTGCAACTGGGGATGTTACTTTCTGAGTTGTGCTCGATGGCACCCATTTATCCAACCAGATATCAATTTTGGTACCATCACCAACTCTCCATCTCATTCCCCTTTTCACCAACTCCTTCGCTGCTAGTAAACCCCTCCAGATCCAGCTCGGGTTTCTTCCAATTTCTGCTTCCAGTGGATTTCGATCCTCATAATACTTTGCCTTTAGGACCCTTGCTACTAGGGTATCAGGGTTCTGAATGACCCGCCAAAGCTTCTTACCAAGCAGGGCTAGATTGAAACTTTGAAGGTTTTTAAAACCCATTCCTCCCATTTTCTTTGGTTTGCAAAGTTCCTTCCAATTTATCCAGTGTGTCCTTCCTTCCTCCTCCTGCTGGCCCCACCAGAATTGTGCCACTGCTCATTTTGCTTCTTTGAGGATACTAGGTGGGATCTGGAACACTGACATAGCATATGTCATCTGTGCCTGTGCCACAACCTTGATCAGAACTTCTTTCCCTGCTACTGATAGTAGCTTACCTTTCCATGTTTTAACCTTTGCTCTAACTCGGTCAACCAAGTAGCCAAAAGCCTGTTTCTTTGACTGACCTAGCACTGTAGGAAGGCCTAAGTATTTTTGGTGATATGCCACTGCTTTCATGTTGAGCAACTCTGCTAGTTCACTCCTTTTCTCCTGTCTCACATTAGGGCTGAACGATAGTTCAGATTTATGAAGGTTTACCTGCTGCCCCGATTCAGCTTCATACAAGCTCAAGATAGCTTTAACCTTTTCACATTCTGCCTTTGTAGCCTTTAGGAAGAGGATGCTATCATCAGCAAAGAGTAGATGAGTAATCTGTGGTGCTTGTCTCTTTACTCTTATTCCTTCAATCTGCTTATCTCTTTCTGCTTTAGTTATTAGAGCTGATAAACCTTCCACCACAAACAGAAATAGATAAGGGGATATAGGGTCCCCCTGTCTTAAACCCCTGCTAGGATAGAAACTCTCAGTCTGATGTCCATTCACCAAAGTAGAGAAAGAAACAGATGTGACACATGTCATTATCATCTGAACCCATTGTTGATGGAAACCCAACTTTAACATGATTGCCTCCAAAAAACCCCACTCAAACCTGTCATAGGCTTTAGTAATATCCAATTTCGCTGCCATGAAACCTTTATTCCCAGCTTTCTTAGCATTCATAGAATGAAAACACTCGAATGCTATTATAACATTGTCAGTGATGAGCCTTCCTGGGACAAAGGCACTTTGATTTTGAACTATTACCTGATTAAGCACCCCTTTAAGCCGATTAGCTATTACTTTTGAGAGAATTTTGTATAGTACTTTGCATAGGCTTATGGGGCGGAAATCCACGGGGGTTTGAGGATTTTTCTTCTTTGGGATTAGGGCTATTAGTGTGTGGCTCAGTTCCAGAGGGAAACTACCCGCTTCCAAATAACTCTGCAGCTCTGTAGTAATAGTTTCACCCAGGATGTCCCAGTTCTTTTGGAAGAAAAGAGAAGGCATTCCATCTGCTCCTGGGGCTTTAAGAGGCCCTATCACCTTTAATGCCTCCCATATTTCCTCTCTAGTAAAGGGTTTCAACAATTCATCATTCATGGCTGCTGTAACCTTTTGTGGAACAGCTTCAATCACTGCCCCTGATCCGGTTCTTGAGTCAGAGGTGTATAACTTCTTGTAGAAACTAACAATACACCTCGCAATATCCTCTTGGTCTGTACAGACCCTTCCATTTTCATCCCTGAGCTTCTTGATCATATTCTTGGCTCTTCGGTCTGAGGCCCTTCGATGGAAAAATTTGGTATTTTTATCCCCATGTTTGAGCCAATCATTTCTGGACCTTTGCTTCCAGATCAATTCTTCCTGGAGCAGTATCTCTTCTTACTCATTCTCAAGCACCCGACGTTGTGCTAATATTGCCTCATTTTTACACCTTCTGTCTATCTTTTCCGAGGCCTTCTCTGCTTTGTTTCGTCGAGCTTTCAAGCTCCCAAACGTCTGCTTACTCCAACTGCGCAATCTTTCCTCACATCTTCGGATCCTCCCCATAATCGAACTCTGCCCTGCTTCTTCCCATCCCTCTTTAATTACCTGTTTACAGTCCTCATGATCTTGCCAGTAGGCCTCGAATTTAAAGTAATAACCCCATTTTATGTCCTCCACCAAAACATTCGTTTTCAACAGAATAGGGTTATGATCTGATCCACACCTTCTGAGGTGATAGACCCCAGCATCAGGATATAGACGCTTCCACGATTCAGTTGCTACCATTCTATCCAACCTCTCTTCCAGGAAAGTCTCATCCTTGTGGTTATTATCCCACGTGTATGGTTTGCCATAGTAGCCTAAATCCTCCAATTGACAATCCTCAAGGGCTTTATTGAACCCATCCATCTCATACCCACTTGCTTTTTGTTTTCCTCTCTTCTCTGCATAATGTTGGATGAGATTGAAATCTCCTCCACACAACCAAGGCAAATCTGTTAGAGTACTTAGATACCTTAGTAGCTCCCACGTTTGATGCTTCTTTCCCTGTTCAGACCAACCATAGACACCAGTAAAACGCCAAACCTTCCCATCCTCCTCGACTTTCGTGTCAATGTAGTTTGTGCCCCTTTCTTTAACTTCCACTTTGATATCTTCCTGCCACAGAACCAACAGACCACCTGCCCTTCCTCTAGATCCCACACCAGTACCCTTGTATCCTTGGAACTTATCTACCACTTCCTGCTATTCATTCTCCTTCTTTTTGGTTTCCATTAAGAACACTACTTTGGGGTTTCCTCTTTGGATCAGTCGATCCAGCCTCTTAATTGCCAGGGGACTCCCCAAACCCCGGTAATTATAGCTCAGGTAACTCATTGAGCTGGGCGGGCCTGCTCCTGGGCAGGCTCCGCCACATCGCCATCCATTGTCTTGTTATTGTTTTTCTCAGCTTCTAATCCCTCTACATTAGAGAAATTCAGGGTCCTCGCTTTCTTTGCAGCCTCAGTTGTATTTCCTTCAGTGTTTCCTCTCTCTTCACGTGCTTCAGCCTGTCTCTTTCGGGGAGTTATTTGGATCCCAGTAGCTGGTCTCGATGAAACTTGATCTTGTCTCCTCCAAACTCGAGCAGTAGGCCTTCCCACTCTCATCCCATCATTGCTGCCCATCATAAACTTCCTCAGGGCTCCATTATGCAGTTGATCTGTTATCTTTGGTTTTAGGGGCACCTTTGGATGTTCCTTTTGTACTGCATCAGGTTGTGGGACCTTGTCAGTACTGATTGCTTTCCTCTGTCCTGTATCTTCTTCATGTTCCTTTCTGTTTTGGTGTGTCTACCTCCATTTGCTTGGCTTCCTCCATCTCCAAAGCCATATCATGGTCAGAGTTAGACCCTATGCTTTCCATTTCGAATTTTTGCTTTAGAGCTGCCCATACCTCAGCATTCTCCTTCTTTGCTGTATAGGAAAGCCAGTTCCTTTGTCCTTGAGCTGCCACACGCAACTCATATCCAAAAGGATCTCGTTCAGTTTTTGGTTCCATTTTGCATCTTAGTTTAGGATGCCCAATTCTCCCACACGTATAGCAGAACATTGGCAGCTTCTCATACTTAATTGGGTATTCCACTAACTGCCCTGATATGTTTAACTTGATTTTCTTCTTTAACGGGTTGTTGATCGACAGGTACACCCTCAGGCGCATGTACTCGTCCCACATTGTTCCAGCCCCATTGTCAAACCAGTCTAGCCCCTCGAACCTCGAGGCAATTTTTTCAGCCATTTTTTGAGTCCTCAACTCAGCTGGTAATCCCTCAACTCTTATCCACAAATCAATCATATGCAAATCCTCTAGCTTTGGCTTCTGTATCGTTGTACTTGCCTTGAAAACTATTAGTGAGTTTTCATAATGCCATGGACCCCCATAGCAGACTTTGTTCCTGTCATCCATGTCCAGGAACTGAAAAGCAAAAAGCATATTACCCAGTTCTGTGATTTGGAATCCTTTTTTCAGCTTCCAAGCTTTTGATAGCGCTATCTTCATTGACTTCATGTTGGGTTCCTTTTCAGCTAGCAGACGCCCAATCAGTCCCAGTCTACGCACCGCTTCCATTCTTAGTACATCAACATCCGAGTCCTCCACCTCCAGAGGTTCATCATCTTCATCTTCCAGGGTGATCTGATTCAGCTGGTTTTCTAGCTCCACTGTTGTTTGACGTTCCTTGCTCGTAGCTGTGTCATTCAACGCTTCTTCTCTATTCTCCATGGCGTAGAGTAACACAGGTTCAGCCTTCAAGGAAAGCCACAAGCCTAATACCTTACTCGCACAAAACCCTAATAGTTTCTTGTACTAGGGTTTTCCTCTTGCACAAACTTTCACGCTCGTTTTCAGCACAAATAGTCAAAAAACAAGTAGCGTTCCTCCTTTAGTAGCAACTTCTCTAACCTCTTGTAAAGCAGAACTAGTTCTGAACGGAAACGGTATTCTTCTTCCACAAGGATTGGAAGACAAAGATACAAAATCCGGAAAAACCCTAGGGTTTCCGCCGCCTTAGGCTATCGCTAAACGAGAGAGTTGTTGTTGACTTAGTGGGACGGCAATTTGAAGGAGAGGGGTTAATGAATGGGAGATCGAAGGGTTGGGATTAGATCTGGTTTCCTTGAGAAAGAAGTTGGACCGTCGGATGGCGGGGTAAAGGGGTTTGAAGAAAAGGAGCGGGTAAATTACGGATTCGTCCTTTTTTTGTTTAGATTTTTTGGCTGGGAATCTGGGATATCTTATTTTCTTCTTCTTTTATTTTTATTTGTTTATCTTTGAATTTGGATTAAAAGGTTTTAAATTTTGAAGAGTCGAGTCATTATGGTCGATTCAATTATGTTTTCGAGGATATTTCTTAAGAAAAATAGATGTTGGTTTGGACTTTCGAGATTTTGATTTTAATTACAATTTTGAGTCAATGATTAATCTTTTTCATTGAAAATACACGAGACAATAATAGAAAATTATAAATTGATAGCATATGTTATATCATGGAGTTTTAGTTGATCAATAAAAGATATGTTGTTGATTCCTTCAAACTTTTCAAAATATTTCACCTTTTTCAATATGTGTAGTAAATTTTGTTATGTATTGTCGCATCACTGAGTCAAGAGAGGTTTGGTATTCCGACATTATCTTGATTAGGACACAATCGGCACTTGCTTTTACCATAATCTCTGAATAATTTTGGATAATTTTGGAAAGGGTTGGCAAAGTCACTTTATATATAAGTAGTCTGCAAAGATAATAGGATTTGGATGGCACTAACGGGATGAGATACGGTCACAACCCACTTTCTAAGCATTGGATACGCTCTCTCTTCTGTCTTTTTTTTTTCAAATCGATGATTAGGATTAAACAAAGGATATTTTTGGAATGGAAAATCTTACCACACCCAATTATTCTCCCTCCCATATAAATAAAGAAAACCCTAACTCCTCCCTCTCTCCCTCCTCCAATTCTCTATCAGACGTGACTGCTACTGGCCTCCACTGGTGGCTCCGTCCACCACAACCGTTGCCGGCCTCCGCCTCCCTCCACCTACCACAGCCTTCGCTGCCCTCCACCCTCCACCCTCCACAACCTCTGCCGCGGTTGTCGCCTCTACAATCCTCCGCCGCCCTCCACCCTTGTCGTTGCCTCATCTTTTCGTTTTTCAGATCTCTTATTCGTGTGAGTCCCTCTGCCTCTCTGTGCCTCATCTCTTCTCCTCTCCTTCAGATTTGAGATTTTTGATTTTTAGATCTTGTTTTTGCTATTGGTAGTGGTACTATGTGGAGTGGTACGCTTCCACTACCATCTTGTAGCTGGTAGTGGTAGCGTACCACTACCAGGTAATGGTACCAAATGACAATGGTACTCTACCACTACCAGCTACCAGATGGTAGTTGTACCGCTATACTGGTAGTGGTACCAGTGGTAGCGATAGCGTACAACTAGCGCACTGATGGACCGATAATTTTTTGCAGGTGGTCGGAGCGAGTCTTATTCAAGGATTTCGCCGGAGAAAGTGTGTCAGTCGCAAAGTCAGCCGGTCGGAGTGGTTGTGGGCTGCTAGAAAGGAAGAGAGAGATAGGAAGAGAGAGTAATATTTATTGTAGGATTTATATTTAAAAAAGCATGTATTTAATATGGGTTTTTAATTTCCAATATGTAATTAATACAAAAAAATTAATAAATAAATTTGTTTTTTTGTCATACCAAAATGCACTTGGTTGTGAATCTCACAATCCCATAGGGAGAAGTGACCGTTTCCCGCCCCAAAACTAACTAAAGGATTGGTTCGAGAAAATAGGAATAGTTTAAGAACCAAAACTGTAGGCCAGCACTACAGTGCCGCTATTAAAAGTACGGTACGGGTGCCGCAAGTTCTTATTGGTCCACATATTTGTCCATATGGCATTAGTTTTGGACGCTAACCGAAATATGTAAACCTTTACCCGCTTCAATTTATTATTGACCGACCCAAGAACTTTGGTTAGGCTCCAGGTAGAAACCGGTCGTCCCCCTAAATCTCCCCGTCGCCGAATTGTCCAGCAATATGCTCTGCGGAGTGCGGACGACCAAACTCCTCTACAATCTCTTCAATTAACCCTACACTATATTCCTTGACTATTTTCCTTGACTAATCTCCCCGTCGTCGAATTGTCCAGCGATCTGAATATCCCTACCGCTCCCCAATTTCCTTATTCTTCCTCCCTTGTTTTGCCCCTATCTCCCTCGATCTAAATACTCTTGCAATTCTGCTCTGTCCTGTTTATTCGTTTGGCACGCTATGCTTGAATCCATAGGCCATTGATCCTGTCATGTTTGTTTCTCTTTTTTTGCCTGGTTTGAATGAGATCATACTGCCAAGATAGTGAATCAAGACCTGCTGTGCCACATAAATTAAAAATTATAGCTATGTAAGATGCTTAAGAGGAGTTGAACTTATATCATAGATCGATGATAAGTAGAGGTTACCATAATTTGCTATTTATGGCCAGGCTATATGCGAAAATGTGAAATGGACAATACAACTAACCAATACAGCAGAGCTTCTACAGTCTTCTCACTTATGTACGAAACATGAGACTAAGAATTAACAACAAGAAGTCTCTTGTTAGGCAAGGGGTACAAGTCAAATGGTCAAGATGGCAAACAAGGACTTATACAGACTCGAGACGGTAGACGCAGATCCAAGTTTACCGCTTCAATTAAAGACACGGCTGAAATGTTTGGAGAAAAGAACACCAACCAACGCCAAATGTATCATCACCCAAAAAAGGAAAAAGAAGTCGAAGTTCACGATCTGTTCGATTGGGGAACTCGAGAGAGATTTCGAGGAGAATGGATATTAATTGAAAATGATAGAGTGGATATAGGATCCGGCGGCGGCGTGGAATTGTAGGGAAGCAAAGCAGAAAGGGTGATTGTGAGAATAGATCCGATGACGGCTGAGTAGTTGGCCGGAACGTCTTGTTCCTTGATAGTTTGACGGAGAGAGGGGAATCGAGGGGAGGATGGGTTCTTTTATGGAATTGCTTTCTCTCCTCCGAGGGATAATAAAATAAGGAAAAGAACCAGAAAGAAGTCCTGGTTCGACCTAAAAGGACTGAACTGGGTAAACACTTACGATTTGCTAATTTTAACTAATAATTTTCCAGGACCAATGCCACACGGACAATACGTGGACAAATGGAAAACTAGCGGCACCGGTGCCGCACTTTTAATAGCGGCACTGTAGTACTGGCCAAAACTGTATAGTTCATAACGGGAATGGCTGACCGCTGAGGGCCAAATTGGGCCTTGCACGTAGTTAAACATTCGTTCCCGAGTGGCCAGATTATTATCCAGGCCCATACTCCGGGAAGAAAGCCCATCTGCAGGCTGCATCCGCCATTCTTCCCCCATTATCTCCGAGCAGCAACCGAACAATAATTCAGAACTCAGAAGCACAGCCATGATGAAGGAAAAGGAATCAACCAGCTCTCTCATTACTACATGTATAGAATAATATTTGGAAATGATTATAGCAATCTCAAAGAGCTACCACACTCACAAAACTAAACCCTAAAACAACTGGTGTTTCTCTTCATAGGCACTGCACTGCAAGTGGGTTTTTCAATCTAATAGAACAGGCTAATCACTCGCACTATGCTTTCAGTTCCCACAATGGTTATTGCATGACATCAAAGCCACAAGGTCGAAACTCGAAAGGTAAGGTATTCAGTACAGCTCATTCTGAACGGTGTTCTAACACATCCTCCCTTTGTAGCAACCACTGTCAATCAACTTCTGTACATCGCCACTAACACATCGTTTCTGGACACCATCATCAAACAGTGAAGTGTTCAGGGAGAAGAACTCGGATAAGAGAAGCCAAGTAAAAGATTGCACAGGATAAGAGCTTACTAAATCTCCTCCAGTCAAGTACTTAGAGACTTCGTCCTTAAGCGCATTAAGTTCTACACCACACCAGTCAAGTCCTTAGTTAGCTTGTGCTGAATACTCAAGTCCACCAGAATCTGATGAGCTCTACTACGGCCGATTCCATGGATGTACTGAAGAGAAATTTGCAGTCTCTTGTGGTTCGGAAACTCCGCATTGCACTTGTTGACATCGCAACTGAATCAATTGATTAACAGGGTTGAGACGTGTGGCAGAGGCTCACTTGAAAAAGCAGCAGAAACGTGTGGCAGAGGCTCACTTGAAGAAGCAGAGCATTAGGCGCTTGCATGGTTTGAGATGGTTTTTCTTCTCCGTCCACCACTGCTTAGCTCCCCAACTGTTTGATTAAATACAATTAAATTAATTGCATCCCCAAACTCCGAACGTGCACTTAGAGAGTTAGAGTTAGAGTTAGAGTTAGAGTTAAAGAGTTAGGCTCCTCCATATATTCACCGACTCTTAACTCTTCTTTCTGCTCAATTCTCATCAACTTCTCCTCTCCTTCTACTTCTCTTTCACAAGACCAATGGCACTCCTCTCCTTCTCCAATCTGGATTGTAGTAGTCTCATCAGTCAGGCTGAATACTACTCCTTCTCTAGAAGATAAGATGAAATAGGACCAGGATGACCATGGATTGTCGCCTGTCAAACCTAAAAGAAAAAGAGACAGTGAGATAGTCGAACATGGGATGTCTTTTTTATGGTCGTTGATGTAGGGTTTGTGATAAGGAAAAGGATGCCACGACAATGTAGCTATGCATATGATTTGTTGAAAACGACGTCGTTTTGAAGTGGCTCGGTGCTCGGATCAGTTGGTTGAATATGTCGAATTTCTCAATTTGATTGGGTTTTCCGGGTTTGGCCGAGCCCAAGTAGATAACCGATTGGGCCTTCCGCGCACAGTGCGATACTCGGGTTTGTGAATAATTGGCTTTACCGGCCGAGTCAAACTCGGGCTGACAAACATGGTTATGAGTCTTGTCTTTGTTTTAAGACACATTGTTTCAAATCCCAATTTTTTCTATTTTTCTATAAATAATAAAGATAAATAATTGTGAAAACAAAAATATCATTCATACTTTCACTCTCGCTGTAGGAAATTTGAAATGGGGCAACAATTTTTTCATTGCACTATTATATATTGTGTAGAGGGTATATGTTGACATGTCTTTGCCGGATTGGAAAGGATTTTAAAACTTAGCGGTTAGTCGGGCTAAAATTTTCAAGGGACCAGTCTCATATAGATCGCACAATGATATGAATATGATTGCTTCATAGTAGTTCTAAAAATTAATACTAATTTAAGAATTTATGCATATTCAATACTGGATTTCGATATGTAATTTTCGAACCATTGATATTTGAGTTGTGATTTTAAAGTATTCCTTATTTGTAAGATATATAAAATTTTAAATTAAATATTAAAATAATTACAATATAAAAATTGAAGTATCGAACATCAATAAGTACAACAAATCAATGTATGTTTTTACTTGGCTAGCTACCATTGAAAAGTTTTGTGATTTTTCGATTTTAGCTTCGTGTATGTTTTTAAGGTATTAACTCTTAATTTAAAGAGATATAACAAATCAATGTAGTGTGATTGGTTACGACCCTTGTCTTTGTTTGATGGAGTTCCGTCGCCAAAGTGTGACGGTCGTCCAAAACCGTCGTCAAGTAATAAGGACAGCAGGTGTTGTGATGGTCAGGTGCCCGTCGGGAACTTGAGTCATTTCCCGAATCCGAATAGGAGTAGGAATCCGTATCCGTGTCGGACTCGGAGTAGGAACGGCGGTCGCTTCATGTTGACGTTAGTTTTTTGCGAGTTCAATTAAACCTTATTATTGGGCTTTCTCTGGCTCAATTAGATAACTAAGGCACGGTTAAATTAACGGACTAAAATACTTGAGTCATTTGCTACTTTAATCATTGATCTCGATGGCTTGCAAGACAGCAAGCACTTAAATTGACACATGTATTTATGCATATCCCACTAAACTAATCTATTCTGTATGTCATTCATGAATGAAGGAATGATGGCCGGCCTAACCGAGATTTTAATCAACTGCCGTGCGAAGGTAATTAGGTAAGACTTAAGAGGTATCTTCACGCTTGAAATATATATATATATAATTAAGCTTAATTTGATAGATCGACTTATTGGTTCCGTGTGTCTATCTATCTCTTTCCTAGCTTCTAAACCTAATTAATTAAATCGAATTCCAACCATATAGTCACCTAAACACACACCCCATGTGCTTGACGCTTGCATTGCTTTGCAGGTAGGAGTGGGTAACGATTTGCTTCACACTGGACCGAATCGTATCGAATCAATACTTGGGCGTAAACTGTATTTGTATCTAGGTAAACATATATATATATATATATATATATATATATATATGATTCTTTGAAGTTCGAAATAAGAGAAGATAGTCTTGTTCATACCGAATAAGGAATTTACGCAGTAAACTTCTGTATCGATTTCGTTACCGTATTATCGATTAACGCACTTAATATATAACATTGGACTAAGTAAGTAAGTAAGTTAAGTCTTGTTAATTGCGTATTAGGGAGGCAAAACTACCCATCACATGGGTACCTAACCCTAACCCAACCTATTGTTGTGATTGGAACTTGAAATTGCTAGACATCGTGTTAGTTAATTAGTTTCATACACCAAAAAGTGGCAGAATGCATAATGAATATCACTTTGCTCGTGTCTCTGCCTCTTTGCATGCATGAAACTATCCTTTGGTAATATGAATTTGAACAAACCTTCCTTCCTTCCTTCCCTCCTTCATCCGCTAGCTAGCCTATAAAACCCAAAGCCATTGCACCCTAACCATTCAATCCATCCCTCCCAATTTGTTCTTCATCCTCCTCCTCAGGTTGCTTCTTCTCCACCTCACTAATCAATCATCTTTGTTTCTTTTCCCCTGCTCTGATCCTCCTCGACAAGATGTCTGCGCCAGCTCTCATGACCACCTGCTTCTTAATGCTGATTCCCTTCCTCCTCGAGGTTCACCTCCCTCTGGTTTCGCCCCAACTTCTGAAAGGGTGCGGATTCTCCTCCATCTATAACTTCGGCGATTCTTTGTCGGACACGGGCAATGCGCTCGTCCAATTCACGTTCGGCGGCTCCGGGAAGCACCCCTACGGCATGTCCGTTGGAGACGGGAAGCCAACCGGCAGGTTCTCCGACGAATATCTTCTCATCGACCGAATCGGTAAGCCCAACCCCAAAAGAAAAAAACACCACTTTAACAAAAAACGAACGCATGATTATGTTGCTTGTTTTACCAGCGGAGTCGGCCGGTTTACCCCATTGTAACCCCTACTTGAGGAAGGACATGGACCACTCCAGAGGCGCCAACTTTGCCGTAGCTGGAGTCGGGCTCCTGTCGAAGGAGACGCGGGACAAGTTCGGCATAAAGTTGAAGTACTCTCAAAGCGGCCTCGACGAGCAGCTGAAGTGGTTCATCAACTTCTCCAAGGAGGCTTTCCAGAACGAATTAGGTCGCGTTTAGTTATTCCAACAATTTGAGATATTTGATGATCATATTCTCAATAGATTCCAACCCCCTTTTGACTGATTTATTGTCTCTTGATTTTGCAGCCCGCAAGGCCAACTTTGAATCGGCCCTCTTCGTACTCGGCGGCGGAGGGAACGATTACGGCGGGTTTAAAATTAAGGGTGGACCCGAAGAGAAGAAGATGATCATGCCCTATGTGATCGCGGCTCTCAAGGAAGGACTCAAGGTAATTGTTTTGCTTCAATTGGCCAGTTCATTTGACTTTTATACTTTGACATGTACTAATCCATTTCCGATTTTATAGACGGTAATTCGCTATGGAGCGAAGAGGATAGTGGTGATGGGAGTGTATCAAGGGAATGTTTGCCGGGATTCAACAAGACCTTGCTCGAGCATGACCAGGGCCCTATCACCTGTGACAAGGCGTGGAATTCATACCACGACCTCCACAACAAGGAGGTTCAACGGTTGGTTCATGAGTTGGGAAGGGAGTTCCCCCGCATCCATATCGCATACGGCAATATTTGGGGCGGGGTGCAATGGATGTTCGACCACTATCATTCTCTTGGTACGTGTGACTATTTTGATATGTGTGGTGTTCTTTGGTACTAGCTAGCTCCTAGTTTGATACAATGAAATCGTTGTTTGTGTTTAACGCAGGGTTGAAGCACAATAGCTATAATCGATGTTGTGGAATCCAGCATCATGAGACTTGTGGTAAACCCGACGCTCCCTTCTGCAAGGATCCGTGGCACTACATTTGGTTCGACAATCTTCATTTCACGGATCATGCGTACCAACTCATCGCGAGCAAGGTCATCCCGTGGATCTACCGTGACCTCAAATGTGCCGTAACCCCTAATTCTACGAGCTCTAAATAAGAAGGGAATGGTCTTGTACTCTTGTTGGTTAGCATCAATCAACAACTCTAATTGTCGTTTGTTGTCATGACTTTAGAGACATTATTATTACTACTACTACACCACCACCAAACCACAATGCAAATGTATGACCAATACGGTCCCGTTTCTAAAAAGGTTGGATGCTGCTCAAACATCAACATTATTATTAATTATATTATTATTATTATTGTCTCATCCTCTTCCTCTCGAACTATATAATACGTAGTATGATATGACGTATATTAGAGTCTAACTATATAAACTATATGCATAATTGTTATAATTCAAATGTGCTAAACAAATAGTTCATCTAAAAAGAATAAACCCTAAATCTCCATAACTACAAACATCTCCATTTCATCCCACCGCCTGAATTTTAATCCCCTCACAAAACCGGCTTAAGGTCAACCAACTTTGACCAAGGGTAAACCTGGAGGTTTTTAGAGAAGAGAAGTAGAGAGAGAAAATTAACTCACTCGAACCACTTATAAATTATATTGATATCCATGTGCAGTGAGGAATCACTCTGGATGAAAGATTCAATTGTTTCTTGGTTGTTTTCAATTATGTAACTATTCTATATTTGGTCGTTTCTCGTTAAAACGTGTGATTTTGTGATCGTGATAAAAAAAGTACAATATTAATGAGGAACCACTTAGAATGTGTGTGCTGGGAAAGTTGTATGTCTGGGTGCTTATAAATTATACATGTTTAATTAAAATGTTTGGTAATTAATTGTTCGTGTATGAAACATGTCTATATGACTTATTAAAGAAAATGAGCAAGCATGAGAATATCAAGGCAAAAGGGTACAACATAGTAATCTAAGTCTTGAGTAATTTTTAACTTAATATATATTTTAACATGTGCATGGTATTTGGGTCATGAAGAGGCCCAAGTATATTGAAGGGTTATAAATGAATGAATATCATAAATGATTATGCTTTCATGATGATGATTATAATGTGGTTTGTTGTGGATATGTATGAACTTGTTATCTATGAATGGGTTATGTGAAAAAGATGTATTGGTGTGCTTTTGAGATGATTGTACATGCCATGAATGAACATATGATATGATATTATATGTGTGCCTACAGGATCGTGTTGACCTAACCAATGAATTATGTGGTCACCTAATAAAAATATAATGACCCTTGTTATAAAAATAAAAAGATTTCAAATAGGTTGACGGGATCAAATTTAATCACCTCAGTATCAGAATTCGCGCTCAAGGCGAGGGATTGGAATTATCACACCTTTGGAGATATTCTCAAGAAGAAGAACGCACTTTTGAATACCATTGAGAGGCTCGAGTCGACACAGGGAGAGGGTGTAGACTCAGAGCAGCCCACCCTTGCACGGCAATGGCTAGAAGATGTTCTCGTCCAGGAGGAGTTACTTTGGTATCAAAAGTCACGGTTGGATGGGATTGCGTTGGGTGACCGTAACACAAAGTACTTCCATGAACACACTATAAGGAGACGAGGAAGGAATCACCGCTCTGAAAGACGCTGCTGGGGAGTGGGTGGACGACCAAGCTCACCTACTTGAGATGGCGCGTACTTGTTTTAGTCTCCTCTACATTGACGACGGTATGCCACCAGGAGTTCTCCTCTCGGCCTTCCCTAAACTTTCCAGTGCGCAATGGCAATCAGTGGCGGCCGACCTCAGTGCTGAAGAGATATGGCAGGCGGTGAAAGCGATGGGAAGTTTGAAAGCGCCAGGCAAAGACGGGCTCAACCCGCTCTTCTATCAGCGTTGTTGGGACTTTGTGGGTCCCTACGTTGTAGCTTTTGTGCAGTCCTGCTGGAGCGATCCTTCGAAGGTGAAGGAAATTAATGAGAGAATTGTGGTACTTATTTCGAAGATCAAGACTCCTACTCTGATAGAGCACTTTCGACCGATAAGCCTTTGTAACGTGTCTTACAAGATGATCACGAAGTGCTTGGCGAAAAGAATCAAAACTCTGATGACAGAATTGGTGGCGGAGACGCATACCAGTTTTGTCCTTGGACGACATATAACTGACAATATCTATATTTTGCAGGAAGTGGTGCACTCCATGAGGGCGAAGCGGGGGAGGTCAGGTTGGATGGTGTCGAAAATCGATCTGGCCAAAACCTATGACCGCATTAAGTGGAGCTTCGCGAGACACTCTCAATGCGGTGGGAGCGCCATCGAATTTTATTGAGCTGATGATGCAGTGTATCTTATCCACCGCAATGCAGATACAATGGAATGGAGGTCTCTCCCAGTCTTTCAATCCATCTAGAGGGCTAAGACAAGGTTGCTCGCTCTCGCCATACCTTTTTACTCTCTGCATGGAGCGCCTGGGCAATCTCGTCAGTGATTCAGTGGAAAGAGGAGATTGGCGGCACATTCGAATCTCACATACAGGACCTCTGTTGTCTCATCTTTTTTTTTTTTGCTATGATCTCATTTTGTTCGGAGAGGCATCGATGGCCCAAGTTCAAGTTATTACGGGATGCTTGGAAGACTTTGGAGCAGCTTCTGGGCAGCAGGTGAGCTGGCCTAAGTCCAGGGTGTATTTTTCCAAGAACATAAACTAAGCACTTGCAACGAATCTTAGTACGTCCCTTGGCATACAAGAAACTAAGAATCTTGGACGTTACCTTGGAGTTCCAGTGATCCATGATAGGGTGTCTAAGGCGACGTACTCAGACCTTATAGACAGGATTAACTCGCGGTTGGGGGGGATGGAAGGCGCAATCGCTCTCTATGACAGCAAGGATCACTCTCATCCAATCCGTCCTAACCTCACTACCAGCATATACAATGCAGACGGCGTGGCTCCCTGTGCGGTCCAAGACCACATCGATCGGAAGGTTGGAGCCTTTATGTGGGGCAGTTCGGAGGAGGGAAAGAAGATTCATTTGTTGGATTGGCAGTCGGTGTGCAGGAAGAAGGAACAAGGTGGCCTTGGTCTTCGAGATGCTACGCATACTAACGAGGCTTTCATGATTAAAATTGCTTGGCGACTACAGACGAAAAGAGACAGCCCGTGGGCTCGTGTTATTCTCTCGAAATATATGCAATAGACAGAGACGGGTCTTCAGCCATGAGTAACGGGAAGGCTTTCAACTTGTAGAGAGGAGTCCTTCGGGTCTTGCCATATATTCCAGAGGCCACTATGTGGAACATCAAGAGCAGAAGGCAGGTCCGGTTCTGGGAGGATAGATGGTTGCAAGATGGCCCTTGCCTGGCGGAGTTTGCTGTAAATCTACCACACGAAGCTCGCGAGTTGACAGTAGCGGATATGGTTCTTAACGATGAGTGGAACTGGCCGCAAATTCCCGGGCCCGCGGTGTATGGCCTCAATGTTATTTGGGTTCCGGTTTTGCGCCTGGTCTGTAACAGTTTTCTTTGCAAGATTGGATTAGGTTTAGACCCACATGGAGAAGTATAAATACTTCTCATCTCCTCTGCAATATGTAATATTCTTGATATAGTGAAACTGCTCTCTCTTGCCCGTGGACTAGCTACACACATCGTGTCAGTGAACCACGTAAATCGTGTCTGTGTTTTTCGATTCTCGCTTTCGTATTCTTGCTTTATCGATTCCGGCTATTTCCCGATCTATAGCAGCGCGTTTATAACAAGTGGTATCAGAGCCGCGGCTGGAAATCAAGCTAGGTTTTCGATTCAGAAGAATGACGTCGGTGAACATGAAGATTGAAAAGTTCACGGGGAAGAACAGTTTCGCTATATGGCAGATCAAGATGCAGGTTTTATTGAAACAGCAAGGGCTGTGGGGGCCGCTATATGCGAATCAGAAGATGGCAGCGGTCGATGACGATGAGTGGAATACCTTGGAGGAGAAGGCCCACTCGACCATCATGTTATCATTGTCTGATGACGTCATCATTGAAGTCACTGCTGAGAAGACTGTCGCGGGCTTGTGGTTGAAACTAGAGAGTCTGTACATGACTAAGTTTCTAACCAACAAGCTGCATCTCAAGCAACGGATGTTCAGCTTGAGGATGCAAGAAGGTACTCCTTTGAGGGAACATCTCGAACAGCTTAATTCTAATTTGTTGGATTTGCGTAATATAGATGTTCAAGTTGATGACGAGGATGCTGCCCTAATCCTGCTGGTTTCTTTGCCTAGTTCATATGAGAATTTCGTATATTCTTTTATTGCCAGTAAAGAAAGCGTGTCGTTGTAGTATGTCAGGTCTGCTCTTCATACAAGAGAGATCAGGCATAAGGCGTCCTGATCTGCTACAGGTGGTGAGGCATCGGGTTTGCTGTTACAGGTGGAAAGGGAAAGAAGAAATCTGGTAAAGGGATTTCGAACAATAATCCAAGGGTCCCGGTCCACAGCCAGGTGATGCTTGTCACGACTGTAAGAAAGTGGGGCATTGGAAGTACAACTATCCCAAGAGAAGAGGGCAACAGAAGAAACAAGGTTCAGTTGTCGTGGCAGAAGTGGACAATAGTTCTGAATACGATCTCGCCTTGGCTGTAGATGAGAAGACACATCGTGGGGATGTGTGGTTTCTGGATAGTGCAGCCTCATACCATATGTCTCCCAACAGGGATTGCTTCACAACCTACGAGCAGATAGATGGTGGTAACGTGGTCATGGCAAATGGAGCTGTCTGCAAGGTTGTTGGAATCGGGTCCATAAAGGTTCGGGCACATGATGGTTCTGTATCGTGAATGATGCCAGGCATGTTCCACGAATGAAAAAGAACTTGATCTCCTTGAGTCTACTCGACAACAAGGGTTTCAGCTTCAAAGGAAAAAGTGGAGTTGTGTATGTATGCAAAGGTTCAAGGAAGGTGCTGAAGGGCGTGAAGCGTGGGACCTTGTATGCATTACAAGGGTCTGTGTTGTCTGGTTCTGCTACAGTTGCATCGTCTCAGGTTCATCAGGAAGATATGACCACTCTCTAGCACATGAGACTGGGGCATATGAGTGAACGAGGGATGCAAGTTCTGTCGAAGAGGGATCTTCTTTGCTGGCACAAGGTACAGAATTTGGAATTCTGTGAGCATTGTGTGTTTGGGAAGCTACATTGCAGCAAGTTTCCCAAGAAGGGTATCCACCGGACGAAGGGGATACTGGATTACCTCCACTCTGACTGTTGGGGTCCTTCATGAGTTGAATCCATTGGAGGCAACAGGTATTTTCTGTCTATTATTGATGATTATTAGAGATTTACTTGGATTTTCATGATGAAACAGAAAAGTGAGGCTTTCACGAAGTTCAAGCATTGGAAGACATTGGTGGAGAATCAGACTGGGAAGAAGATCAAGAAGCTGCGAACAGACAATGGTCTGGAGTTCTGTAGTTCTGAGTTCAACGAATTCTGCAAGGACTAAACACATTGACGTGAGGTATCATTTCTTGAGGACAGAGAAGAGGATTAAGTTGAAGAAGGTTGGCACCGCGGATAATCTTGCTGATATGTTCACGAAGCAGGTTCCACATGGCAAGTTCCAACAATGCTTGGACTTGCTGAATGTCTTGAGTGGGTGACTCCGTCCTACGGGGCATTGATGGCGGGAGAGAGAGAGAGAGAAGGAGTAGAGTACATCTTGTGCTGGCAGTTATGGAAAAATAGGAATGTTCATGTGTTCGAGAAGCAGTTAACACCTTTTACGGAGCTTGCGGTCAGAACTAAGCTCTTGAAGCAACAGACCGAGCGAGCTTTTAGTAAAGGGAGTGAGGCCATGGGAGGAGACAGGCAGAAGTCGATTGAGTTGGTTTGTTGGAGACCGCCGAAGCCTGGATGGTATTGTCTATCTTGGCTATGTTTGTCGAGTTTTGTGATTCAGACCTTGAACCTAAAATTTTCAACTATGTCCTCACTTTTTTTGTAAACCAACTTCTATACTTCCCTTAGCTTTTTATTATTTGTTTTTCGTGTCATTGTTTTGTGAGGAGGGAAATATTGAAATGGTTGAAGCTCTTTAAGCCTAGCCCTCCTTCCTCTTTAAAAGTCGATCGTCAGAATGCTCCCACAGCAATAGCAGAAGCCAGAAGGTAGCTTCTTCTCATACTTGAAGCTTACCCACACTTCTTTTTCCCCATCATCTTCCACCAAAAACCCAGCGGATAGAAGAGATCTCTCATATCGATTCCCACCAGCACCCTAATGAATTTGACATAAATACCCGTTGCCACCACCAAATCACAATGCAAGACCAATATGGCCCCATTTCAGAAAATAAATATTTGTATGATGTTCAAACATCAAAACATTATTATTACTATACGCAAAGCTTTCAAATAACATCCATCTTTAACTAAATTTTCTCGAAGCATTTCAGGTCAAGGTGATCATAAGCAATGCTGTGGGTGACAAAGATCCAGTACTTGGCTTGGCCAGAGCTGTTGGATGCAGTAATATTCATACTGGTAAAATCCGTACTGGGTGATAAAGGGTAATAAACACCCTCGTCGATGCTTATCAGCTTCAACCGTTGAGCACCCGAGAGCGCCTTATTGTGCTCCTCCACCGCAAACACGGCCAGGCTCTTCTGCGACTCCCATTGCAGCTCCTTATGAGAGAGCGGACGAGATGAGCCGTACCATGATTCATAACACGATGACGCTACCGGCTTCACAGACACAAGGGCACTTACCATGATCAGGACGACAACCACTGCTAAGGGCGACTGCTTTGTCATTTTTAGACTTTGTGCTTTTTGCTTTGTTAAGTAAAATTCTCTTGTCGTTTTTTTTTTGGCTTGTACTGAGGGAAAAAAAAAGTTTGTGGGAGCTGAGTATTTATAGTCCTTTGTATGAGGGGATTTCCTATCACCGACTATATAACGTTTTCACCTTGAAAGTTAAAAATGAATTAATTACGTTTTAATCTCCTAAGAAATTTGTATTTTTTTCACAAGTCACATTTAATTAGTTGTTTTAACGCCCAAGGGCACTTATTAACATACCATTAATGAAGATGGTTGTTATATGCTGGAAATGGAGAGGGAATGAAAAGATATGCTGGAAATTATACATCATGCATGCATGAGTACCAAAAAACACAAGTAACAAAAATAAAACAAAAAAAAAAATCGGAACCAATTTAAATTGTCCATGCTAATTTTAGCTTAATGATCATGTCAAAGCCGCCAGGTCCAGGAAGGAAGAATGTTTCTTCTTTCCCTTTGCTTTTTATGGTAAGCCTTTTCCCCTTTTCTACAATTACATCAATTAACTTAAGTCCTTCAGTTTAGTTATTAATTTCAGTTTACATCAATTAAATAATTAATTTCAGTTTAAAACAATCATTTTCTTAAGCCCTCCAATTTTAAAGACACTTTGAGATACATGACGAATATTTGCATTTGAATAAACAAATCAAGTTACATTTAACTTTCATATTTTGGTTAATCTGTTATTAATTTAAAATTAGTTCAATTAAATTATTCCATTATAATGATGCTTTCAGATATATGGTGGCGACATGTCATAGTCTCCGAGACCTCTCCATTCCACATTCTCCAATGCGTTTGTTTACTTTGAAGAATAACGAAGTATATAAATAAAGTGACCTTCGTCGGCTCGGGGAAGCACCCATACCGAATGCCTGTCGGCGGCGGGAAGCCGACCGGCAAGTTCTCTGTCGGCTACCTCCTCATCGACCGTATCGATAATTGCCAAAACTTCATTTTTTATGTTTTGTTTTTCTTACGTAAAACATGTATACTTTTTTTATGTTTCTAGCGGAGTTGCCGTGGTTGCCCCACTGTAACCCCTACGTGAGAAAGGATCTATATATATACCACTTCAATCTAATTTAAAACGATACAGGATCATGGCACAGTACGTAATCAATTTTTTTGTTGGTGTAGTTTGATAGACTTCAATTTGTTAGATAATAGTAATAAGACATCAAATATTCTAAGAACTATAAACAAATTTGAAATTTGGATCTTACAGATAAAGCTCCTCTAGGCACATTGACAAGTATTCTTGTGAAAACAAAAATTGTAAAACCGTATCGGAGACGGTCTTATCGGAAAATTCATCGGTAGAGTATTTTACTATTTTATACCGAAAATATAGTTTAGCCATAATTCAATCGTTCCATACCACTAAAAACCATCTACCGATTTAAACTCATAGAAGATTTTCTCCATTGGAACGACAACACAATATTTGTTTTTTTTCTTTCAATCATCGCTAAAATTGAAGCCACGGTGCCAAGCGCAGGATGCCATGTGAGTGGTTGTCATGCCGGTGGCATGCCACCTGGTTCAACCTGTGCCGGTCATAAAACCGGCATGACACCACCGGTATGACAGGTATGATCGACTTACGCATTCTAAGCAAAATGACATAATTTTAATGAATTTAATTAATAAAAAACTAATTTATTATTCATTTTATGAATTTAATAGTTAAAAATTGATGATATTTGTTGGATTGTAACTAAATTGTCCACAAATATGTTTTATATATGATTAAATACATTAAATATTAATTATTTTCACATTTTTTTAAACCGGCACAAACTGGTTATACCACCGGTCGTACCATTCCACTTGCCAAACCGGTATAACGATATAAACCGGTTTGACAACCTTATTTGTGAGTGAGGATGATGCATCGAGTCGAAAGTAAAAGAATCAAAACCCCACTTTCCATTTTATTAAGTCTACAGACTTTAAGGTTTTGCCAACGATTGAAGCAGCTTCTCCCTCAAGTCCTCCTCCAACGAATCATTCAGAAAATTTCAGCTTTCTTCTAATTAGTGCCTTCCTTGCTGTCTCAGTCTCTACTTAATTATTCTTCTTCGTTGCTGCCTGGGATATTGGAGCGTCTCCGTCGTCTGCAGAAGAACCTAGCAAGCAAAGCAAATCAAGTCACGACTGTATATGTATAATAATGGCGAACCCACACCCCATACTCTCTTGTCAGCAATTTTTCGCAAAGTTTGGCTGTCTCCTAATAAAGCAACCGAAAGAAAGGGAAATAAAAACACACGAGTCGACGTGGAAAGCAATTGCATGATTGTACCCTAATTATACACAATTCAAAGGAGTTAATGATAGTAGGACCCATTTAGATTTTGACATATCCTGAGTTCGATGGGTAAACTTAATGGTATGCATATCGTATGTATATAGAGATTCATGAGTTGGTTTGATTTGGTTTAGAGCAAATATCGTGAAACAGTATCGGAAGTTGTATCGAAAAAATCAGCGATATGATATTTTGTGCTGAAATAAGGTTTAATCGGGGTTTAAACGTTTTATATTGTTAAGGTATTTTGTGCTGAAATAGGGTTCAATTGGGATTTAAACGTTGCATATTGTTAAAGCTACCTATTTCGATAGAGATTTTTTTTCGATCCGGCCGTCGATATACGATACGTCTTAAACACTGATTTATAGTGGATTCAGGCTCTCGAGTGAAGAAAGGAAAAAAGAAAAAGAGAATTGAAGTTGTTGTCACCATGAAAAAATTCATTAGTGTAGTCATAAAGCTGAAAGCTCAAGAGTCTAGTCTAAGTTTTTATCCTTATAAAGATACTTCTAAATCTTCCAAATCTCTCTTATAAAAATACATTCCAGATCATATTGCATGTAGAAGCCCCAAGGCTTACAAAATTAAGTGTATCTATTTAAGGATATAGAACGATAAATAAAACTAAGTAATTCATAAAAATAAAAAAATAAAAAAAACTAAGTTGAACCGTGTTGATTTCATCTGGTTTTCGTTTATTGTTGTCATTTAATCAACACACCTAAACATATACAGACCCAGAAATAATGCTCTGGGCCAGTTCAATGTAACTTTAGCCAAAAATGGACACAAGACACGGCCACTTGTGTGTCCATTAACTTCCGACCACGACCCTACAATTACACCTTTGCCCTTAATCAAAACAACAACAACAACAAAAAACCGAATAATCCCAGATCCAGAAGAATCCTAATCGTCCAATCACCTCTCGCCATTTGTATTCCTCTCTACTTCTCCAGAAACGTTGACCGCCACCTTCCCCTCAATTCTTTCCATTTCCAGAGACCTCCAGGCTACCTCTGCTAATTAAATTAATTTTTTTTATATAAAATAGGTGCTACTGAAGGGATTTGAACTTGAGAACTCGTTCGATCTCTTCCGACTTCTACTGCAGTCCACTCTTTTTCGTAACGGGAAACTTTTTTTTTGCAGATTAGAAGAAAATGCGCAACCAAATACTCTCGGAATCTAGCTCATACAAAACTAGTTTCCCTCAGCTGCAACAGTTACACTATAATGACCCGAATTACATTTCACTTGGTTTAGCGAATAATAGAAATGGCATAGAGTGATTAGAGATGCGAAACGCATTACAAAAAGGGAGAAACCTTGTGATAATATCAACCAACCAACCAAACTTACATACATACAAGCACAATCAAGCACCAGTGCTCATATTTTATAAAACAAGGAGAAAATAGCAACAAACAAACATGTCCAAATCGAAATGGAAAAAAAAAACCCGAAAAGGCACACACGATTACACAGTTGCACACAACTATGCATCATGGACACAAATTACAGCAAAAAAACAACTTCTTGTAAATTTAAAACCCATAAATTCTTCTCTTTTTTTTTTTACATATTTTTCTAGTGGCTTTCTTTCTCCTTCTCCTTGTTCTCCTCGGCCTCGCTTCCCTTGGCGTGATACCCAGGCAGCTTCTCCTTGATCTTCTCCAGGAACCCCTTCTTCTCCTCCGGCTCCGTCGCAGCCACCGCCGGCGGATGTGCAGGCGCCACGGCAACGACAGGGGTTTCCTCAGCTGTAGTACTCTTCTTGCCGGGTAGCTTGTCCTTGATCTTGTCCATGAACCCCTTCTTCTCCTCCGGAGCGACGTCGTCGCACTTCTCCACGGGCACCGACGTGTCCTCTCCCTTCTTCTTCTTCTTGTCCTTCTTCCTCCTGATCTTCTTCCCCTCTTCCTCTACCTCCTCCTCGCTCGACTGCCACACCATAGAAATATTGACATCAGTCAAACATTAGAAAAAAGCAAAAAAAAACAAAGATCGGAGCCACGTTATAGCTGTAAATTTTTCAACGAATTTGGAAAAAGAAAATAGGTAATTATTTTTAGCTACGCTTAATTTAGATTTATGGCTCCGCCACCGAATTTGAGAGGGATATGATGAGAGACGACTTACGGAGCTGGAGGAACTGCTGCTGCCGGATCGGTGAAGCTTGGAGAGCAAGCTACCGCCTTCTTCCTTCTTCTCTTCCTCTTTAACAGGCTCGGAAACGTGGACCTTCTCCTCGAACTCGGCCGACATCACTCCGGCTTCCTTCTCGTCGTCCTTCTTCTTCGCGAAATCGAACAAACCGCGGTCCGTGGCTTCCACGTTGTCGTGCACGGTGCTGCTCTTGTTGAACTCTTCCGCCATTTTTTGTTTCGAGAGTAATAAGTAGAGCTTTTGTGAGAGAGTAAAGTAGTGTGCTTTTGTGGGTTTTGGGGTGATGATTGAATGGAATTGATGAAATGTGGAAGCGTAGTGAAGGAGGGTTTTATACTAGTTTTGGGAACGCGGGTTTGACGCGTCGGAGGAAGGAAAGGGAAAAGGGAGAGGACGGAGGAGGAGGATCCAATGGTAACTGTTGTAACGGACGTGAAGCCGTTGATTTGTGTGAATTGAATAGCTTTTGGACGGTGTGGTAGCCGTCCAGATTCTGACAAGTGTCTGGGGAGTCGGCAAGTTTCCTCGTCCTTTAATTTAAAAAAAAAAATCTGAACTCTGAGATTAGTAGCAATAAAAAATATAGTACAACTTATTAGCCCTCTTTGATTAGGAAGCCAAGTAAGTATGTATGATGGATTGTTTAAATTGAAGTTACGAGAAGTTGGATTTTGCTAATCCGGATTTAATCATGTTTTCAACAGAAAATTGCTAGGGCTATGTACAATAGTTATTCTAAACTTCTTTTATTTAATCAACAGATGCGATGAAATATTGAAATATTTGTCCTCTTTATATCTTTTCGTTAACAATACAAAGTACTTGGGGGATCGTTTCATTGATCATGTACTTAAATATTAGAAAAGCCTTTTAGCGCAGGAGAACTAACTGTGCATACATTTTTGGATTTTAGGAGCTAAGAGGTTGGCACTTTGTTGCAAATCAGAACCCTGGCGAGCCAGGTATGGGCATTGACTCATTGATAGCAACAGTTTTTTTTCAAGAAGAACGGAATCGTTCACAACTACCTTCTTTACCTAATCCACTACTGATGGAGTCGAGCTTAAGCACAGGGCTTCTTCCATATCCTTTCCCTGAGAAGTTTGGTCTAAGGAAGGGGATAAAGAATGAGTATGGATAAAATTTATTTTCCGAAATAAATTGATATCGGTTTAAAGGTTGATCCCGTGAAAAAAATACCACTGATTCTGAACCTCAAAGTCTGGAATTCGACAACCTAAAATTAGCATCTAATTAAATATATCAAACTAACGTTTACCTTTAAAAATAATATAAAATTATTGATTCATGTAATCACTCCATCTTCCCCTTCAATTCAATTCCCATTCGTATTGATTTCCCATCCAGCTACGTTCCTACCGTTCCGTCCGGTAATAAATTCTGTGATAAAACGTACGTGAACGGCGAGGGAGGCATGGAGTGAGAAAGCAAAAAGTTCGAGAGAGAGAGACACGGTGTACGGAGGCCAGCCAATGAGAATGCGGACACGTGGAAGGGAAGTGACCGGAAATGTCGGCCTGGAAAGGATAAATACAACGATGGAGCAAAGGTCGGTGTGGGGGCCCAGTAAAGTGGGCTTGTGTGTGATGGATCAGGTGGGGTCACGTTTAACGGGCTTAATTATTATATTATTTTTTTAAGATCCGAAGCCCCTAGGTCTTGAGATTTGCGTCACGGGGATGGTGGAGTTAAAAGTTGTAGAACGTACCCTTAGTTTGATCTTTATACACGTATAGTCCTTAAATTTTTATAATGTTGGTAATATCCATATATTTGGTTATGTTGGATTGTTGACCAATGGAATCCAAGACAAACCTCATTAACATGCTCAAGACATATTATATTTTGACTAAGGTGAACTTGGGGTTACTAGTTGTTATATCAGTTACTACGACTATGGGTTTGAGAAGCATGTTATTATTAAATATTGAACCCATGATACACATAACGCTATATCCTACCTTTTTGTTAGAAAAAAAAAAATTTCCGTCACTCGTGCTGATTATCGATTGGTGTATCCTCTTCAACAAGGTTTTGATTCGCTCGAAGTTTTGACTTAAGAAGTTGGCATAGTCACTTGCTTCATGCAGTTTATTACAGTGTCCATTAAACCGTACCGTACCGGCGGTTCAACCACAAAATACCAGTATCGAAGGCTAAACCGATATGCGACGTTTACCGGTATAACGGTTGAACTACGGTTAAACCATGGTTTTACCATAAAATATCCTACCGCTGACTTTCCCGATACGATCTCCGGTACGGTTTCATGGACCATGGTTTATTAATCTTTTATATATATTGAGATCTGATCGAGTTTTGACTTACGAAGTTGGCATAGTCACTTGCTTCATGTAGTTTATTAATCTTTTATATAGATTGAGATCTGGTGTTGCACTCTCAAACTCGAGGTATTGTATAGTATTTAGTTTGACCTTTAACTTTAAAGTATCATGCAAACTTTTTTAATTTTCTTCTCGACGAATGATGCATATCATAAACCGAGGTTAAAATGTGAAACTTGAAAATATTTAGTTCGACATGTTATATCACAATTATCATTGAACAATAACATAGAACATATCGATTTACGCTCGATCAAGGATTGTTCCCTTGTTGATACCGATATTAATAGGATGAAAATGTTAAATGTGAAACTTCAAGGATGGAAAGGTTCGTATAGATAGTTAAGGCCTAAGGGCCTAGTATGTACTTATCGTCGCTCCATTATTATAATCGAAAGTTTATCCGAAGTACGGCCATGAGTCATGATGACAATTGGTGTTTAGTGGTGGCGGATCAAATACTATTTGATTAACTCAAGTATTTGGTTTGACGCTTTATGTCGACCAAGACGGTGTCGCTTTCTCAAGATGCGAGGGGAAATCACTTTGGAATTTGGCTGGCTGGCTTGTTCTACGGACAGTTGGTCGGTTTAGTGCTTGGAAAAATCACATTCCCAACAATATTTATATTATTTTTCTAAATGAAATTTAGTTAATCAAAGTTGTGTGTGATATCGTCACCATAATTCTTTTCCAACTCACCCACGTCTCTTCTCTTCATCTACATCTACCCAATAAAATGAGAAAACTTAAAATGAGAAAACTTAAAGTCGAATTTCATATTTCCGGGTAATGAAATTTGAACCGTGGTCTCTTCGAACAAAGATAAGAAACACAACCAGTTACAATAAACACATTGGTGTGATCTTTTTCAATTAAAAACATAAAGGAAGTTTAAATCTGAAAAATATAGGACTTTTCCACCAAGGTTAGCAATCGAAATGTCATTGATTCAAACATTGCATATCGAATTGCACTCTTGAATTTGTAGAAGCGATGTAGAATTCTTAACATAGACTTAATTGTTATAACTATCATAAAGTAACAATATTTTTAACACAGAACTTTTGAGTGAATATGGGGCACATGTGTCTTTAAGAGAGGGGTAAATATGGAAATGTTGAGTGATGTTGGTTTGCCGAACGTGGATGGAAAAAACACTACTAATGTAAATAGACTCAAATAGTTTCCCGACCCACTAAATGCTCAACCATCATCGTCTCTCCAAACTTCTCATCGGACTCAACAACCAGCTAACCTCCTCTACCTCTATTATTAAGCCAAAGCAATTTTTGGAGGGATAAATAAGGAAAGATTGAGTGTTGTTGGTTTGCCCAACGCAAATGGAAAATGTGCTACTAATGTAAACGAACCCAAATAGTGTCCGACCAACTAAACACTCGACCCCCGGGTTACTTTCGCTACATCTAATATAAGAGTGAAATGGGAAAGGTGCTTCCCCCATTACAAAATCCTTGCATCCATAGCAAAGTAGAAAGTGTATATTCGTCTTCACAATCATTTATTATTTTTCTTATTTACAGGAAAAATACATAAGTGATGAGATTTGAATTGTGATCTCTTTGAGAATAGACAAGAAGCATAATCAGTTACACTAAACAAATTTGTTTAAAATTTTTAAATTAAAAACATATATGAAGCTTAAATCTGAAAAATCATTGGAATTTTCCATCACAGTTAGCTAAGCCACTAACTCTCCCCTAAATATTTTTTTGGTATTTGATACTTCTATTTTCATACTTTGATTATTTTAATCCCAGTTTAATACTTAATTATATTTCTATTTATTTTATAAAAGGAGAATAATTTTTAATTGCAAGCCTAATGTTATTGGTGTAAATATTGCACATCAAATTGCAATATTAAATGTGTAGAAGCGATGCAGAATTCTTGACATAGCTTAAATAATATAACTACCATAAATCAACAATATTTTTGAACATAGAAGTTTTGAGTGAATATGTGGCACATGTGTTTTTAAGAGAGGGGTAAATATGGAAAGGTTGTGTGATGTTAATTTGTCGAATGTAGATTGAAAAGCCGCAACTAATGTAAATAGGTCTAAATGGTGTCTCGACCTACATACTAACCTCCTCCGCCTATATTGTTACGCAAAGCAATTTTCGGATGGGTAAATATGGAAAGATTGAGTGTTCTTGCTTGGTGAGCTGACTGGTGGATTATTTAGTTTCTTTGACAGTAATGTGTAATCTCTCAACATTAGTTCATTTGGTTGATCTTCTAGGTTGACTTTTGAGTTAATTAAAGATAAATAGTATCCCGGGCTCCCGTCCTACTAAAGGCTCAACCATCACTGTTTGTCCAAACCTTCCCATCGGACTCGACAACCGCCTAACCTCCTCCACCTATATTGTTACGCAAAGCAATTTTTGGAGGGGTAAATATGTAAAGGTTGAGTGTTCTTGCTTGGGGAGCTTACTGATGGGTTATTTAGTTTCTTTGATAGTAATATATGAACTCTTAACATCAGTTCATTTGGTTGATCTTCTATGTTGACTTTGGAGTTGATTAAAGATAAATAACTATACGTTTTGTTGCTTTGTTATGATACTCCTTTTCAGTATCATCATTTTTCTGATTTGAAATTGGTTAGTTTCCAGTAAACAAAGACTATTCTGATTAGTGTTAACATAGGGAATAGCTTCAATCATACCACTTTTACACAAAATCTATATGTAAGAGCTGAGATCATTGCTGAATTGAACTATTCAAGCTATAATGCTGATCTTCAACATATAAAACATAGTTTCTTTTGAGGGAAATAACCTCTTGATTGCAAATATTATTTTTACAATATGATGTTTTGTGATAGTGGTCACTTGCTTCCAGATTTAAAAGTGGGGTTCTAATTACTACAATCTACACATAATAGAATAGCAGGAAGGAAAAAAACTCTTTCCCCATTTCAAATTTCCTGCTCCATGATCGTTTGTAGAAAGGGTATAATAGTGAGTGTCAATTTTACTCTCTTTCCTCTGTGGAACGGGCCAACTTATCGTACATGTGCGGACTTGAACGGACCCAGGGATTGTTGCGGCCCACAATAATAGAGTTGGTTTCAGCCGCGGCCGCATCCGTTTCGTGCCTCCATAGCGATCACCGTAACCGAGTCTTGGATTGTTTCGATGCGGGATTTGAACTCCACCGACACTGGGAATAAATGAAATAATTAGAGAAAGAGAGCGTCATAATTGTTTACAAAATAATTTCCCCAATCCTTCTTCCGTGTGTTAATCGCCTAATCCCTTCCCTATGAAAAGAAATTCAAGCATACTAAAATGATCCAGTCATGCTCATGAAGAAGGGTGGTAAATTGCATGCAAGTAAAATTTAAAGATTGAGTCATCTAATCAAATTGTAATCAACCACCCCTTTTCATCATTCGTAAACTCTACCAGATAAGTGACAAAGAAATTCACAATATCGCTTCACTGCAACAATACAATATTTATTGAAGATTGGTGGCTTTCTCTTCTTCTTGGTTAAACTAGCGTCGAAGATAGACAAAGAGGGGGTTTAAACAAGTCATAAGAGAAGCGAAGATTAAGAAATAAAAACAGAGACCGAGAGGGGGGAGTTGAAATTGAGGTTCGGGGGGAGGATGACATGCAGGGAAAAGGTTTGCAGAGCTAAAATTAACAGCCGGAAAACGAGGATGAGGAGAAGTGACTACCGGCGGCGATATAATTGAGATCGAGAGAGAGAAGTGAACTATGTGCCGGTGAGCACTGAGAAGCTTTTTCTAGGGATATAGGGTTTTCTTTAATCCCTTTTATTTCTCGGTGTTGGTAAGATATATATGAAAGGGCAAAAACAATACTCCTTTTGTATTGCTAAAAAGAAAATATTTAACAATAAACCAATGCATGAATTCTAATGGGCTAATTTTTATTCGGTTTTCCGGAATTCGGTTTTCTATAAAACTTACTCCACCTCATCATATTACCAGAAATAATATTGTTTCACAAGGTAACAGGTACTCGAACTTGGTTCATAAGGCTGATTTTTGATTCGTTGCATCATCCATGCCGCTTTCCTGCTAAAATTCACTATCTCTATAACGTGTTTCCAAAAAAAAAAAAAAAACATACAACAAAAAGTTATACACCCCATTATATTCTCAAATTTCATACATCACCTTCCTCCGGCCAAATGGTCGGACCACGCTAGTTAATTTGTATAAATTAAATACGATGTGTGGGGATGAGATTGTGGATAGCAACTCAACTCAGCTCACCGGTTCCACCTTCTTCTAACCCCACTCTGGATTTGATCATTTGGGCTTGGCTAGTCAGTCGACAAGAAGACAACCAAACAGCAAGAATAAGGAAATGAAAGGATGAAATTCTAATTTAGAGTTCTACTCCTGAGCTAGTTTTGTATCCGATCCACCGATTCAATCCGATCATGTTAATTCATCCACTTAAATATTTAACTAATCCAATTTTGAGTAGTTTGGATGCAACATTTTGGTTTTATGATATTCGAATTAAAATGCTATATTATTTTGATATGTGACATTTCATGTGTTATTTCAGTTTGAAAAAAGAGGTCGAAAGATGAGCTATTCGAAATAACTAAGGGATGGGTAGGTATTTCAAATACCTCACAATGAATTATTTAAATTGTTTTATGGACAAAATACCACTTCTAAATTTATTTTTTCCAAACAAGTTATTTCGGCCAAAATAACTCTTTGGACTACCGCATCCACACAACCTGTCCATTTAAATCCAATACATTTGATCCAAATCTCACTTATAAATTTTTTAACTATCCAAATCCAATTAGATTCATGGATTACATATATTTTGTACATTTTGCAATTTTGGTACATAAGATTGGTTTTTAAATAAAAATATCATTGAAAAATACGTTTTGTTGCATAAAATTTCTATTATAGCATTGTAGTACTTAAATTTTTTAAAATTTACATATTGGTCCAATATTTAGGTGTCACTTAAATCCATGATCCAATCTACCAATTATTTGATCCAATTCATGAATCCACCAATCCAATCCATTTGTCACCTCTACTTCTCATCCTATTTAGAAGTCCACTCCATCATCTACCTACAGAAATGTTCAAGGATCATGCGCTCCTAGTCCTAGCTGAGCTTCACACGATTTAGTTCAACTAAAGTCTTAAGCTAGACATCGATCCAAACAGGATTAAACTGAAATGGATTAGAAAAATAGCTCTTAACAAATTCGGACACCGACCATCTAATCCACGTTCAATAAGCTTAACACCAGTACATTAACCTCAATTTCCTACATCCATTTCAGATCTTGCTGCCTTGATCTCTGCAACAAGAGACTCTCCCTCATTAGGCAACCCTTTCCTCCCAACTAACCGAACTCCAAACTTGTCGCTCAACGTTTCCAGCCGCTTCTTACCATCATCACCACCATCAATCTCACTCAGCTCAATCGCCTGCCCCCTCGAAACCAGCCCATACAAACTAACTGAATCAACCCCCGATTCTCCTCCCGTGATCTTGACCCTCAACAAACATCTCGAATCATGGTCATCGTTGCTCGACCTAGGATCAAACAAAACTGAGAACCCACCAAAAAGAAGATCAGGCTTCTCGTATAGCTCATCCAGCTCGTTGGCACCACAGAGTTCTTCAATAGGTTTGGTAGTTTGAGCCAAAGATCGCTTCTTGGCGACTCTGAGTATGTTGGCAGCCTCTCTCATCCCACTCAAGAAAGCTCCATGCATAGTTGCAGGATACTGTTTATTAGTCGCTTCCCCTGCAAAAAACACTCTTCCATCTCCAACACTCTCAGCTAACACATCGTAATCGTCCCCAGACGATCCAACCGCCACGTAGGAATACACCCCGTGACTGAAGCAATCTTGACCCCATCGAGTACAAACCGATTGAACTGGATCAGGAACCACAATCCCTTTGGGGTGGAAGATCCCCCTTAAAATTCCCATCACCTTTCTGACCGATTGCACTGGTGACATGGTCTCAAACTGAACCGCAGCATCACCAGCAACAAGTGCTATCAAGAGTGGACCACCCGAAACCGAAGAATAGCTATAGATTAGGAAAAACTCACCTCTCATGGCGGAATCTTCGGTCAAATGGCCGAATGTATCGATCTCTCCTCCCCAGAAATCGTGAGGAAACAACAAGGCCACTTTATTCAACATCCCGAACCCTAGCCTCTGAATAGCATCCTTCTTCCTCTGCGGAAGCTCGGGCACAAACTCGATTCTGCCCTTTTTCAGCACGCCTAATGGAACCGTGCATAGTACCATGTCACCACGAAATTCTTGGCCATTACTATAGACAAGGGCACCATCAGCACCATATCGAATGCTCTCCACCACCCGGTTATAGAAAATCGGAAGGCCTTTTGCAAGTTCCTTAATGAACGTCTCATTTCCACCTGGAATGAAGCAGTGGTCTCCACCCATCTCATAGGGATCATCCTGATCCCAATACGCCATTGATAAGTTCGACATCAACGAAGCATTTGCATATTCGAGATTTGCTAGGTGCCAGTTCAACAGCATTCGTTCCTCGTGATCCTCAGCTACCTTATAAGCATGCCTAAATGCTTCCAATGCTGTTCCCAAGTTAACATCAGCTGATTTCACTTCGTCTATCATGGCTTGTCTAAGCTTACAGACTCTATCTAGCAACTTGTTGAAAGAAGCTTCCACTTTGGTGTCTATCTCTGGATTCACAGGCTTTCCATTCGGTAGATACAAAGGGCAAATGTCTCTTACCTTGTGAAGTGGAAGCCCCAATTGCCTTGCGAGAACTCCGAGTGGGTTGCCGTTTATTCCTGTGATTACACTCCCGCCAACATCAGCCGATGCTCCCACTCCATCGCCGTTTAATTTCATAGTCTTGACTCGGCCGCCGGGTCGGGAACGGGCTTCTAAGATCACGACTTTGAATCCCATGGCTGTGAGTTGCCTTGCCGCAACCAAACCGGAGAATCCAGCTCCCACAATGATCACATTCGCTATTTCTTTTCCCGGGTTCAGCTTCGATTGAGCTTCTGTAATGGCGGGGGAGACTCCGAAATTTATGTAGCCGTGTTCGAGCAAGAAATCGTAAGCGGAATCGACTAGGTTTCGGTGTTCCGCCCGAATTGACTCGCGTGCTTGCTCGCGAGTCAGCCACTCGGAGACATTGGACCTCCAGCGAGCTAAGATGTGGTTGCGAACGATCACATAGTTGGATTGCTCGGCGCCTCCGATTCTGGAGACGACATTGGCTTCGATTTCTTCCTCCGTGAGGGAATCGGCGGGGAACCCTACCGAGATTGCAATTAAGGCTTCGACGTCGAGTTCCTTGGATCGGCCTCCCGGTAAACGGTACCGAGAAGGGTTGGCGGTGTTGAGCTCCGTGAAGAATCGCTTCCGGCGGCGCCGCTTCCGCGGCGGGGCGGGTTGTTCGTCGGCGGGATTAACGGTAAGTGGCAGGGCCGGGTCGGAGGCTTCATCTTGGGACTCGACAATGAGGTCTTCGAAGTTTTCTGCTGTGGCGGGGCGCGTTCTGGGTAGAGTTGGGGACGGTGTGGCTTCCGTTGAAGGGGAAGAGCGGCCACCGCCGGCGGCATCGGAAGCTGGAACGGAAGGAGGCTCCGTCGCGGTCTCCATTTTTGCGGGTTTGGATTTGGTCACTGGTTCTGGTTCAGGCTCTGAAAGCTGTTTATGTTTTCCGAGGGTAATTCTAACTTAATTTACTGGCTACACTTTTGTAGAAAGATTGGGCCTCAAACATGAATCTGGGCCGATTCGGCTCTATCATTTGGCGCCTTTAAGCCCAAACCCACCTGCCGCCAGCTCATTTTCGAATTGAAGAAACGAAAAGAAGGAAAGCCTAAAGAGAGCGAGCGACGGAGGGGGGAGCAAAGTTAGGCTGGGAGAAGTTCCACGGAACACCAGCAGTGGCCGCGAAAACAAACCGCGACTCTTTCGCCTCCGTGTCTCTTCTTTTCCTCCTTCCTCTTCGGCCGTCTCTTCTTCCTTCTTCCGCCGTCGACCTCGATCTACGGCGCCCCTCCGCTGAGCAATTCTCTCCGTCCGACGTCGCCGGAGCACGAGCAAGTGAAAGGGCGCGAGAATCCGGAGGGAACAACGAAAGGAAAAGGGAAAAGACGCGGGAGGTTAGAGATGATCACGAGATCGAATCTAGCGGAGCAGTTGAGGGAGTACCAGATTCGATCCAAGCATGATTGGGCCTCCGTTTCCTTCTTCTCCTCCACTTCGAATAGTTTCAGTCACTCGAGGTAATTCTCTTGAATTCGGAGTTCCTTACCGCCATTTCTTTGTTTGTTCTTGAATCTTGCTTCGGATTGCCTTGGGAATTACGGGGGCAGAGAAGTACGGATTTTCGAGGTTCCGCCTGATTCGATCAGATCAGCTTGTCTATTGCGTGTGCCTAGGCTGCGAGCCTGACTTTTTCTCAGGAAATTCTGGACTGGAAATTCTGTAGCTAGGGTCTATGTAGGGAGAGGAAGCTCCTGTTTGGTATTATGAGCAGAAATCCAGTGGGTTTGATGTGATCCTCTCCCAACTGTTTCCGTCTTCTGATGCATACTAGATGTCAATTAGAAACTAAGAAAGTGACTGTTGGCGATTTTCGATATTCTATCTTATGAAGTTAAAGGTTAAGAAAGACTGGAGCTTTGGGGGTTAGACATACTCTAAGTAGTCAATCTGTGTCTTTCTTGGTTACTATCTTTCAAGAAGTGTGTCTTGCTTAGCCCTTTTCTTGCTCTGTAGCTGAGATGTGTTCATTGTTGTCTTTTTTGGTGTGAAAGATGTAGTCATTGTTGAGTTGTCGATGTGTTGGCATTCGGCTACCTTAAATTCCCCATCTTCCAGTACATGATGGGATGCTATTAGGGGAGAGTATGGTAGATAGTTTACTTGATTTGGGGAAATGAAGTTGTGATGAACATTTTATCGTGGAGATAGTAGGAAGTCGTTTGCTTGACCATATGAAACCTCTTTAGCTTCCATTTCTGTTCATGGCTTGCTTATGGCCCATGAGGGGTTTCTGTTCCCCTGACTGTAGGATAGCATAATCTGTTAAGATGTTTCAATTGGGCTGTCGATGGTTATTGCGATACAGATAGGTTTGTTAGATCTATAAACAATTGCTTTATATTGCCATAGTTACATTCATGTTTTCGATTTATTGTTCTTTTTTCTTACAAGGGAATGACAGCTGATTCTGGTTTTACCCTTCTTGTGCAGGGTTGATGTTGTCATATTCGTCATATGGGAACTCGTTGTTCTAGCCTTCCTGGTCTTCTCAGCCGTATCTTTATACTTTAGGCACATGCGACTTGCCTTCATCTTAGTCTGCATCACGTTAATATTGGTGCTATGCATGAAAGTGACGAAGCAAGTTAGGCTAGCAAGGAAGAAGAAACGAAGAATGCTTCTGCCTCTATCCATGTAAAAGGGCAAAACAAAAGTAATAACTCCTTTTGTTCTGGGAATTATTACAAAACAAAGTTTGTTATGCAGAGTTTGTAAACTGCCGGTGTTCGCTTCCCAGCAATCTCTCTGTCTAGGTTTGTTGGTGGATTCTACACAGATTTTACCAGAAAGCAAAAGACAAGCCGGTGAATTCAACAAACGCCGATTCTCAGAGTAACTCGTCATGGAAATTTTGCGACCATCGCTTTATTCGAGGTACTTTTTCCTTTCATGGTGCTCAGGGTTTGACATTTAATGGCTGCATCTCTCGAAAGTTTGCAAGTAGTAGTAGACAACTTGAAGGGAGGGGCGAATTCTACAAAGAGATCAATATTCTTCACTGAACGGATGTGTAATTCTGCTCGGGGCAATATTTATGTTTTTTTTACAAGAATTGATGTACAACTACTGTAAAGAGAAATGCTCAAGGCGCAGAATGTGGGGTTTTTGAAGTTTTCACCATGAATACAATTGGGGAAATGGTTGTGCTTTACTTCCCTTTTCTTTACCTCGAGCTAGCAATAAGACTATGGTTGTGCTTACTTCTTTTACATTGAGTTAGCAAAGACTGTAACTACTCTCACTGGGGTTTGAAGAAATGGACTTCAATACCCTTCGTGACGATAATCCAAATGGCCGCGGTCACCACAAGCACACTGAGAACCATCCCAGAGACGCCCAGAATCCAGTTCAAACACCAGCTCCCGCTGTATCTGCCTGGCTTCTTCATCACAATCCACATGAAACACGGATATGCCAAGGTAAGCGGCAGGGCAATCCCTCCGATCAGCCCGGCCAGGCTTGGCAGGAATGGGAGAGCCACTGCAATGAAACAGGTCAGGCATCCGAAGAAAAGTCGGAGTGCTGACCGAAGCCACTGTGGGCATGGTTTGTTCATCTTGCTAGTGTATCTGAGCTCGAGGTTGTCGAATGCAGGCATCGCGTAGATCTGAAATGAGCTGACGCAGTTGATCACGACCAGCAAACTTGCTGAACCGAGTATCAACTTGGATGTGTCCCGCTCGTGGTATTTGTACAAAGCTTGCAACATTGCTCCGGTTCCCTCTGGGATCTTCCCAACCAAAGCAGATATACGGTGAGTCAGTAACTATTTGTAGCAGCAAAACTGTCAAACTAGTGTTCTCTTATGTTCAATTTTTACTGCTCATCATTTTGAGCAGTAATTAAATTTAGCTCGAATAGCTGACTCAGATTAGTTGGGTGCATGTCATGCATGTAGTTCTGGTTAGTCTCGAACCGTATGCGTCGGAGTTTCATCAGAAGAGAAAAAATTGGTACTAGTTAGTGTACTCACAAGGTCTCCATAAGCCCAGTAGCCAGCAATAGCAAGGGGGAACAAGCAGAGGGCTATGATCAGGTAAGCAATCTGAACTCCTCTCCACATTGGCACCCTCGACGGCGTTTTCCCACTCGATGGCATGGTACCCTTCAAAAAGAAACGAAGCAATTTAGTCCCTTGGCTTACTGTAAACTAACATTCTCATTCTCATCAATCTTACTGAACTTTATATAGTTGTACCTGTATTTCGAGGACGAGATTATGTCCTCTGAAGGCCAGAGCCACGATCCCAACGCCATTAAGAACACCACAAATCCGATCGAGAACTCCGCCGCTCCCTCTCGAAACAGCTACATGATGATGATCATCAATAGCCACCCTGCCTTGGACTACTGTCGCAGCCCATATCAATGTGCAGTAGCTAACGGCAGTAACAGCTCCGACGAGGGAAGCTCTGGCGACAGAGTTCAAATTCGGGAGAAACTGAGATAGAAGAACGGCCGTGAAAGTGAAGACCAAGTACCACTCGATCGTGGTCAGCGGGCTGGCGCCGACGGTGTTGTCGATAATGTGGAAGAAAGTTTTCATGGTCCCGCCGCCGATCATGATCAAGGTCACGCAGGTTCCTCCTGATAGGTACATTACGGGGAAGAGGGCCAGCAGCTTCCCCAACTTCTCACCGAAAGCAGCCATCGATAATCCGAGGTACCTGCTGTATCGTGCCCCAGACTCCGATTCGTGCAGCTGGATCAACAGCCACATGGTGTAGAGTTGCCACACGAAAACAACGCACAGACACGAGATCCCCCATGTCCAGCCGAGGGATGAGAAGGCGAGAGGAAGGAGGAGGGCCTGGAACCCGAGCCCCGAGCTAAGCGAGTGAAACGCAGCGTAGAAGGCGTTGCCGTCTCTCGACTCCGTGATTGGAAGCCATGGCTCTTGTGGAGCGAGCTTGTTGCCGGCTTCTGCTTCTAAGGTGTAAAAAGACTGCACGTTGGAGATTACAGAAGATATGGGGCTTTTTGAAGAAATAGTGTTCATTTCCAAAGCTAACTCGTCTCCCATGTTTCTGCTTGTGGAATGGAAATTGTAGTTTTGGAGCTTGGCTGTAGGTTGTGATGAGAGTTGGCTATAGTATTTATAGGAGGGGTGCTCTTTTTTTGTTTTATTATGTTGGTTGATTAGAATTAATTAATATGAAAAACTTAATAAGTTATTACTATGAATTCTTGGATTATGTTGTTGGTAATAACTTAAATAAGTTAAGTGCAGGCTGAGTAGGTAAGGTTGGAGCATGCAATGCATGGGGTCACAAGGTTTTGTTGAGTGGGAGGAAAAGTTGGTCAATATATAATGTGGAAACGGCCACTAAACATCGGATTTAGTAAGAAATCAGGCCATGTTGACACTTTTTTTTTTAAGGAAATTATGTCCCTGAAAGAGGAATGATTAGCACAGTAGTCATCAAATCCGTTTCGGTCATGTTTATTCGAATATTGATATGAATAATCTGAGCGAGGTGGTATGTTCAATATTCCAAAGTTGTGTAGCAGTTTTTGTTAGTTATAAAAGATTAGTTGGGCAATATTGATGTATTAATGATCCATCCATATTAAGCTTAGTAACCATTTTATGACCATGGGAAAAGTATGGAGTAATGATTTTGACTGGCCCCATGCATTTACCAGTCGTGTGTGCATGGCTGCTGCTTTCATGTTATATAGATAGATGTGATTTCGTCAGATGTCACTAATTTTTGCTCTATTGTCCGCAGTGTTGTCGGTCATAGGCCTTAACCACGAAGTTTCCCGATCGAGTTATAAAGTAGGACCGTGCGAGTAGCGGTAGATTTAGTTGATACACATAAAATACGTTACATGTTATACTAATCTAATAATACGATGATATCACCTACAACTATAACTATATATATGTGCATTACTTTGAAGTCAGTGGCGGACCCACATATGAGGAAGGTGTGTCACCTTCGTCCGAAATTTTTGTGAAGAACTTATATTTTTTTGGTATAAAAAATTCGAATATGAGTTCTCCGACACACCTTCAATCATAACCGACACACCTTATTATATTACAAAATTTTTGTGGTCATAATGTTATTAAAATGTGTAAATATAAGAGTTATCGGACTTCAAAGTATATATATGTGCATTACTTGAAGTCAGTGGGGGACCCACATGTGAGGGAGTTGAAGTCCTAAGCTACAAATTTTAAACCTAAAATTTGTGATGTTAAGCCTCTAAATCTAAGAATACAAGGATATTCTAGAGGGTTTTTGTGCAAATGCATTATTTATCTTATTAAAACTAAAGATTGAAATAATTTTAACATGATTCGCTTACTCAAAATCATGATTATAACTAATGTAGTAAAAAGCGCGTTTTAAAAACTTAAAAACTTACGATTTTACGTTTATAGGTCACTAAAATGCTTCTACACAACATTTCAGTTTTTATAGCTTATGTAGTTAAAAACTCCGCTTTAAAACTTAAAAACTTACGATTTTACGTTTCTAGATCACCAAAACGTTTTTACGTAGAAACTCACTTTTGACTACATTGATTATAACAAAGGAATGCACCAAAAAAATTGCACATTTATGATTACTCAATTATCATCATAGGTGGAGCCAAACTCTTTTGACTTTGTCACAGTTTTGGTAAACAATACTAAATCTTCTTACTTGGTTAATAATGTAAACGATCAAACTCATCACCAGCTAATATACGGGTATTTTCAATTTTGTTATTTCACTGAAACTTGCATCTTGTTGTTTGGTCACCATAACATTGATTTATAATACTAAAAAATAAAATATTTAATTGGAATAATTTATATTTTAAAAGAAGGACACGCCTAGTTTCAACTCCCGGCTTCACCACTGATCATCACCATCTCTTTGTGGCTTAGGCTAATCTCAATATTTTCCGATAATGTATAATGTATAGGGCTAATACCACTGGGAAACCCGAACTATTAACTTTGTGTCATTTGTGTCCTAAAGTATTCGATACGACATTTGTGTCCCAACCTATTATAGTTTTGTGTCATTTATGTCCTGACGATTTTGTTGACTGTTATATATAACGGTTGACCAAACGGAAGTCAACATTAACATTGACTTTTGTTGACGTGGCAGCCACGTAGATGCCACGTCAGTGACACCTCATATTTTTAATTACAGAAAAAAAAATATTGTTATAAAAATGGTTAAACCTAAATTTTATTTATCTTTTTATGTCAAGAACCAAGAACCCCTCATATCCAGATCCACCGCCTCCCCCAAATTCCGCCATTGACGACAAGAACTAAGAACCCAATCGACAAGAAGCAAGAAGAGAGAAGAGGAAAAAAGATGAAGACTCTAGCGATGAGCGAGACGCTGAAGAACAAGTACCAGGTGTGCGAGGAGATCGGACGGGGTCGATTCGGCGTGATCTCCCAGTTCTTATCTCCGGCGAAGAACTCCTTCTTCGCGTGCAAGACCATCGACAAATCCCTACTAGCCGACCAAGCCGACCGCGACTGCCTCGAGAAGGAGCCCAAGGTCATGCTCTTCCTCCCGCCGCACCCAAACATCCTCCAGATCCACGACGCCTTCGACTCCGACGACTCCCTCACCTTGATTCTCTACCTCTGCGAGCCCTACACCCTCTACGATAAGGTAATCAAGAGCAATGGCGGCCTCCCGGAGCGAAGTCAGACCCGGTTGATTCAGATGATTCTCCGCCGCGGCGGCGGAAGCGAAGTAACACGTGCAGAGCACCATCGTTAAAGTGACTAACCACGCCATTGGTAGAAAGGAGAAGTAGTGAAGTTCAATTCGATTTCGAGGGAGGAGATTTTAAGCCTTTAGAGGAAAGAAACGATTCGCTTTCGTTCGTTTCGGTGGCGGAAGGATAGATAGCCAGGTAGCCGCCGCCGTCGTTGGATTTCACGACCATGGCTGCTGGGAGAAGAGATCAGAGTGAGTGGAGGACAAGGATTTTTTTCGTAATTTTGTTTTTGTTTTAGATTATTCATTTATATGGAAAATAATTAGAACAGAAAATATAAATTCCACGTTAGATGCCACATCAGCGCTGACTAAAGTTTATGTTAAAAATTAACGATCAACGCTAGTCAACTATAACGGAAAAATAGTTTGGGACACAAATGTCGTATCGAATACTTTAGGACACAAATGACACAAAGTTAATAGTTCGGGTTTCCTAGTGGTATTAGCCCTAATGTATATGCTATTCGCCTATTCCTCAATTATATTATCATGGCTCATACTTAAGAATGTGTTAGTTTATCCATTGCATTAATTGATAAACTAGTTGTAAATTGTAATTAAGAAATTAGAAATTAAGCTAAGTTGGATGACGGAATCGCAAGCGTACGTTTCTGAGATCATCCGTTGAACGTCAAACAAACTACTTGCTGCTTTTGGGACCATTTGCATGTAAAGCAGTCTAAAGAGCAAAGCCATTGACGACTATTTTTACTCTTTAATTCACAAAGGCGCAAGCTAGCTAGCTAGTTGCCTTTCAACAATGGCATCCGTTTCTTTTTCTGGCTGCATGCTTTTCTGAAACCCTACCGTCGACGTAATATTCAAATGGAACACTATATATGCAATTTGCACCACATAAAGTGCTCTCCGATAATCCAAGAAGACTGAAGACATGTAGAGGCGGCACCCCAACAGCTCGAGAGATATAGTTTTGATTTTGTTTACGATAAATATTCTTAGATTTCGTCTGCCATAACGGATTGATCTCAAGACGTATAATTTAAAAGGGTTTGTGGAGCACGACCCTCAATCAATCTCCAAATTTTAAAAAGGTTTGGCACATGTGCATTATTTGGATATCTCTGAAAATCTTTATCTTTTTGTCATAGATAAATTGTACTAATACACTTAAAGTGCGAGAAAATAAGCGTTGTTTATATAGCGACTCAAACCCACCAACACTTGGAAATTATGTATCAATGATAGTGTTAGTTTGGTAGACTATTAAGTGTCTTTTTATGATAGAGGAAGTTTCCTTTGTTTGTTGTAGTATGAGTATCGCCCTACTTTACATACCATTTGGTAGTATATAAATATAATGGCGATGGCCGGATTATCGGAAGCTACCCGCCCATTGCCTTGTTTATTTCTGCCTGTAAATAGTACTTAGTGGTAGGGTTTCTTTGTCCCAATTGCATGTGCGCCTTTTTCTTTCTTGGAGCTTTATTTTTACTTCTGGCTTTCGAATTATTTTGTTGTTGGTTTCAGGAGCTTTTCGAGAACTTCTTTCCCATTACCTTATCTTCTGTGTGGCTCACAATGGTTTGCTTGCTCTATGATGTTTGTTGGTCATAAGGCCACTCCTATTCCACACATGTGTGAACATAATACATATGTACTTGCTTTCATACTTCTAGTTATAGGAGTGCTATGTGTTTTTCTAAACACGTTTTTGATGGCTCCCATATAATTACATAAGTAAATAAAAATTCAATTTTTTTTTCAATTTCACTGGAAAAATTTGTAACATTTTAGGCAATACACAGAATAAAAATATATATATATGGGAGTTTTCTAGTAGGAGACCGAACGTGAAGCACAAACGTAAGTCACTGAATGAAACAGCCATGGGTTCAACTAATCAAGACATGGAAGAGGTAAAACAGTACAAACAACAAGTAGCTCAAGAGTATGGACAGTGTTCAGTATATTATCTCTGTCAGATTTGATAGGAACCAAATTACCTCGTATACCTCGAATAGGTTAGGGTGGTTACTATTTTTTTTAGCAGCCACCCTCGCTACCAAAATCTATGCCCTTCATTAATTATGTTTTACTCTATTTTTGAACTAACGATGGAGATTAGATTAAGAGCATTTTTGGAATAAAAAATATACTTCATCTACTTACTATCTTTTAAAAAATGAATTTCTATATATTATATCCTAACCCTAGTAGCAACCATGGCGCATTTGAAGAGAAGAAGAGGGTTTGGGAATGGGGGAGCCCAAAAAAGAACCCAGTAGCTAGAGGCGTGAGGAAGAGGAATATATGCGGTTGAGAGACAGAGAGAGATATGGGAGCTGGCGGGTGTGGAGGCAGTTGATAGAGAGAGGTGGAGATATGGGAGGCGGCGGGTGTGGAGGCAGGGAAGGGATGTCATTGAGCTAAATTACTAGCTTCGTACTAACTACATATATAGAACTACAAATGGAAAAGGGAAAAGGTGAAGCAAGCAAATCAGAATGCATCTTGAAACACAGAAAATCAATCACAAAAAGTTTGGCAATTTCTGACATGATACGTGTGACCCGATATGTTCTGACCTGTTTGGGTGCGTATTAACTGACCCTCGATACTGTGCGGCGGGTCATGGTATTGCTTCCGACCTGTCTCACTTTATTCTCGACATGTTCTATCATGATTTGCATCAATATCTACATGTATGTCTTCACTTTTGATATTTACTAGATTATAGTTTCATCCCAAAGTAATTTTAAAACTCTATTTTCAACTATTGAGACTCAGTTGTTCGTTCTACTGAATTTTTCAGTCATTTAAGAAGTGTTTTCACTTTCCTCTATGTTTTTTGTAAGAGAATTAAATATCAACATTTTTTTCCGAATAATATATAAAGATGGATAGACTCTTCCCACCCCGTACCCCTAAAAGTACCACGCCACCTGGCACATACATAGTATATGGCGAATATAAGTATTGAGATACCCGCTCTGCCCTAGTCTAACCACAATGGATAGGTAAGTCTACAAAAGCACAAGCTACTTTTTTTTTTGCCAATAGATTCCTCTGAAAAGAGGGCGAACATAGTTCACAGATACAAGAAACCTATCTACTACGTAACCAAGCAACATAGTCGAACCTCGCTAACAATCGAGGCGACAAACCCAGAGCATGTTTTGCTACTGAATGAGCTACTCTGTTGTTCAATCTTCCAACAAATTGGAGGGATACTGAGGTAAGAACTTGAAGAAGCAATACAATTCCCTGAAGTAAAATCCCTATCTTGGATCGCAGGTGTCCCCAGCATGACATTTGTCAAGAATAACTTTAGCATCACCTTGAATGTTGATATTCCGAAGCTGAGCCTGAGTACAATGCACCAGACAATCACGTAAGGCCAGAGCTTCAAGAACATATGGGTCACTACAAGCTGTATAACGAGTCGCTTTAGCAGCAATGATATCTCCAGAGATGTGTTGAATTATAAAAGCTGCTGAACCGGCCTCTCTCTGTCGAGTACCTGCATCAAAAGATCCCACAAAATGCACATTGGGCGGCACTTGAGGAGTATTGGAATGATTGGTTGCTGCTATATTTACTGTACTAGGTTCCTGCAGAAGGGCTTGTTCATTTTCCTGTAATTGGTGCCTCCATTGTGCAGCAAGCTCTTCCACACGAACCTGCTTGTACTAAAAAACCACTTTACAACGATTTTTCCAGACCCTCGATAAGAAACAAATTACCTCCAGGTAGAGGTAGTCCAAATCTTCACCATTCTCCTTGAATAACGAGTACTTGATGAAGCCTATGAATGATCTTTTTTCCCAACGACCTAGATACCTATGCATACCCACCATCCTCCATAATCTTCGAGCAGCCTGACAACGGGAAAAAAAATGTTCAATAGTTTCTTCTTTCCGACCACACATAGGGCAAATGGGAATGATATCCATCCCTCGCGTTACTAAAGCTTCACGAGTCAAGAGGATTCTGTGAACACTGTTATAAACACGCTGCTACGGATCGGGAAATCGCTGGAATCGATAAAGCAAGAATACGAAAGCGAGAATCGAAAAAAATACAGACACACGATTTACGTGGTTCACTAACTCGATGTGTGTTAGCTAGTCCACGGGCGAGAGAGAGCCAGTTCACTATATCGAGGAGATTACAGATTACAGAGGAGTATGAGAAGTATTTATAGTACTTCTCCATGTGGGTCTAAACCTAATCCAATATGGCAAAGGAAACGGTTACAGACCAGGCCCAGAACCCGAACCCAAATAACATTGAGCCCATACACCGTGGGCGGGGGGCGTTGCCCCTGGACCCCACTCGCGAGACCCCCGACTACCAGTCGTAGCGGCTGATAGTCCGATTCAAGTCACATGAACAAACACATTGCCATAAGAAGAAGTGTAATTTTGGCGGAACTTTCCGTCCCCAAATCCTATTCCAAACAGAAGGGTCCATGAACGTAATACGAGGTTTGGAAGAAATCGGACGACAATGCCGAAAGGCTAGATGAAAAGCAGATTTTACAGAGACAATCCCACTGGATTCATACTGCCAAATTATTGAATCTTCCAAAATATTCCGAGACAGCGGAATCCATTGAATAAGGGCAACCGAATTCGAACCAATAAAATGCTGAATAGCCGCCGAATTCCAAGTTCTATTACCAGGACATATGAGACTTGAAATAAGTAAAGCAGGGTTAGAGATACCTGGAGCTGATTTGGGAATGATCGGTATGTCACCTGGCACCCAAAGATCCTGGAAAGCACGGATTGAGACCCCATCACCTACCTGCCACCTGATACCCTCTTGTAATAAGTCCCGCCAAAGATGACACTCCTCCAACCCCAAGAGGGATTACTCCCCAAACCAACCCCCAGGAAATCACCTGAATCCCTAAAGTACCGACCCCTATAAACCCTTGACAATAAACTCATCGGGTCCTTGAGAACACGCCACACAACCTTGGCAAGAAGAGCCTGATTGAAGTAGCCGAATTCGCGAAAACCCAAACCACCTTCCTGTTTAGAAGTGCACAAGGCTTTCCAAGCTCGCTAATGAATACGACGTTGACCCTAAACAGCTCCTCACCAAAATCTTGCCATCAAAGCATTCAGCCTGTTGATCAAATCTCTAGGCAGCCTAAAAAAAGACATGATGTTGATTGGAAGGGTCGCCGCCACTGATTTCAAAAGCACCTCCTTGACTGCAGCTGAAAGAGTTCGATTTTCCACCCTTGGAGCACCGCAATTAGTTTTTCCTCGACGAAATGAATAGTCTCCAATTTTGAACGTCCCAGCAATGAAGGGAGGCCTAAATAACGATCTTGCAAGCCAAATGAGCCCACTCCTAAGAAAGCCCCAAGCTCCTCTTGGCCCGATTGACTGAGGTTTGGACTGAAACAAACGACGGACTTGTGTAACTTAACCCGCTGCCCACTAATTTCTTGGTAATTACGAAGAAGACCCAAAAGCACACGCTACTAGCAAATGGACTTTAAATGATAAAGCCCATGCCAAATATGTATATCCTGTTTGGGCTAAAGTACGGCCCATGCATAACCTTAACGAGTGCGACATTTTTTGGGGCTAGGAAATGATCTCCATGTCAGGCCCGATATACCGAGGAGCGAATCTACTGCGCTGCGCAGCGCAGGGCGCAGGCTGACATCGAAAGAGAAAAGCCACAGAGGTTCGTCAAAGAGAGAGAGAACTCCATTAGAAATCAAACCAAAATCTCAACACAATTTCGTTCTCCACCAATTTACGGAGTGTGATTTGGTTTACTCGATCGAGCGATGGGCGGAGGGCACGGGGATGGCGTCACTTACAAGGGCTTGACGATGCACCAGCCCAAGCGGTGGCACACGGTCACCGGAAAGGGCCTTTGCGCCGTCATGTGGTGCGTTTTCTCCTTCTCTTCGCCTGCTCGTCCTGTAATACCTAATTCGTCCCTTGAGAGTTCTCTGTTTCTTGATTCGGCTGATTGATTTCGGTGTGGGTTCTTGAATGGAGCTGTAATGAATGCATCTATCTAGGATTTGTTGAATGGGGGTGGGATTTATTGTGCTTAAGGTTAGTTGTGGATTGAATTAATCAATGTTCGTGGAAATGCTTATCGGATTGCTGTATGGAGCTGGAAACGAGTGGTATGTTGCTGGAAATGGAGTCAGACATTATAGCTCTGCTGTTTAGGGATTCACTTCAGATGAAATTGAAATAAGTAGGCCGACCGAATGACTTTGATGACTGGGTGAATCTGTATTAGCGACTGCAGAGAACTCTTGTATTGACTTTGTGATGGATTATGTTGTTTCAGGTTTTGGGTTCTGTACAGGGCTAAGCAGGATGGTCCTGTTGTGTTGGTAAGAGCAAATTTCTTTCCGTTTAGCGTTGTTATTGAGATTTTGGAGCTCTGCTCCTTGATGTGATTGTATTTCGTGGTCTGTTTTTTAGGGCTGGAGGCATCCATGGGATGGCCACGGTGATGATCATGGCCATGGACACTAGGTACATTCTCCTATTCTGTTTCTATCTAGAATTTAGATGCGCTCAATCAGTACCTTAATGGTGATTTCTCTAATGTTTAGTCTGGTACCAACTTGAATGACTGTTGAGAAGGTAGGATAACTATTAATTAAGGCAGATGCTATACTTTGAATGATGTTTGAGATGGTTATTAGACAATGATATAATTTGATTGGTGTTGAGTTCTTTACCTATGACTTGCAATGACAGGGAGTTCTATAAAGTCACCATGATTTGCTCTAGTTGGTTTACCTTTTTGATGAATTAGTCTCAAATCAACACTAGTTCGCAACATGGTATAAGATTTGACTCAATAGAAACCAAGACAAATCTTGGCATGTCTTTTGTATTGCTCGCGATGCTGTTAGTTTTATGGCCGATGGTGAACATTTAATCATTTGTGCAACCATTAACTCTGGCTGTTGTTGCTACGAAAATTATCTAGTTATTCCACTTTAGTGATCTCTTGTGTATGGTATATGTATGACAGCAAAGATCTAAGAAATGAACATTGCTGGTTTTGCAGGTATGCATCTGAATAGCCAAAGAAGTGTGGAGTTCTTCAATGGTGGTACCAAACTGTGTACCATAAATTGAGACTCGGAACATGTTCCCTTGGTGCAATAAAAATTATGTTGAAAACAGATTGTTCTGGTTCCTAATTTGTGAACATAATGCTGCATTTTAAAATGCTAACTAGCGCTTGAATGTCTGGTCATCAGATGCGTTTGGCTGGGCTTGTTTCTGCGAAAAGTCTTATTATTACCATGACAAGTTTGTTCTTTTTTGTTCATCAAGACCTGAATTCATAGTTGTGTACTTGTGTTGTGTCTTCTGCTGTTGTATATGTTTGTTTAGCTTATTATGTAGGTTCCGTATATTTGTTTGATTTGAGCATTGCAGCAGCAAGAGGAGACTTCGAAATAGTGGAATTACGGGGAAATTGGTGCTCGTTACAATCCAAGTCCAGCAAAGGAACAGCTCTTGGAGGGTTTGGCCAAAGGTGTTCTACCTCTGGGCATGAATGACCCAGCTGCCATAGCATATGCAGGTGAAGTAGGATACTGAGTTAACTCCGTATCGTATTCCATGTCTACAGGAGGACTCTGCGGCAATCTGGCTGCAAAAGTTTCAAGAGGATGAAACAGATTGCAGTCCGAGGAAAAACTGCGAACGCCAGTTTTTGAATCAAACTCTACAAGAACTTTGCCAAAAACATTTGCCTTGTCTAGCCTTCCCGGTTGTGTGCTACATCGTTTTGTTTCTTCCATCTAATATTGATTGGTTGGCTCCAGCGTTTAGCCTTTGCTGGACAATCTATGGACCTAACTCGCTTGTTCCGAATTGGGTTATGAGATTGTACAATATCCATCTGAAACTGAAACTAAACAGGCTAAGACATGAATGGCCTTTAACCATGTCGCCAGTAATGATATGGCTTTGTCACTTGCCAAGGTGAAACTTGAAGTTAGCATTAGAGTTGTAGCTAACCAAGTTAAAGTGTCTAAACGACCTATGAATCCGTACGGTTCGGAGACGACGACGGCGTTCTTTTTTATGAACTCAAATAATTATTGTATACCCTTGCAAATTTTAGCAATAGCGATCTCGTAGTTGAGTGGTGGAGCTATGTGTGGTTCAGAAGGGATAACATGAGTGGCGAAACTAGTCGTACGTGGACAACGGGTCGGGCCGCCCATGGGCTAGCACGACACGGCATTGCTAGAGAAAATAAATATACGAATAAATACTTAAAATATATAATAAAATTTACAATATTCAAATAACTCGGTCATAGAAAAAGAAATAACCGAGTAATAAGATTGGCTTTTTCATAAACAAAATAATGTGTTTACATTTGCTGAAAGTATAGTTAAATTGCGTTCATTGTCTACACTTTAAAGTAAATCTCTGTCAATGTACACACGAAGCAATCTTCACCAAAATGATTGTCTGTTCGACTTCTAAACTTGTTTTTAATTAGTTCAAAACTAAAAATGTCCTTTCTACATGACTTGCAATTTCAACATATAAATTATGTGCTTTAATGTCAGATACATACCCGAAGATCATTAATCATGAAAATATCAACCCGGATCGACTGATTTGCTACCAAGGACACGTCAATAACCAATTCACCCATCTCATCATCACCGGACGCGGACAGACAACAAACTCATAGAAAGAATAAATTAATTAATAAGGACGAAAAGCAGAGATGTCAAAGATTCTTAACTAGTGTTCACTAAAAGTAACATTTCGCTTCGTCACAAACTACAACAATCCCATAATACAAAACGTCTAATTGTCTTGTGACCCGCAGCTTCAAGTTAATTACAAAGAAGAACACTATACGAAACTACCCGACCCGAATCAAAGTCACTAATTAGTAAGAATATTCAGAAGCGAAGCTCTGGTTTGAATCAACCGCCGGAACATACACTCCAGCTCACTCTCCAGATCCTCAATCGCAATCTCCACCGCCTCCAATCTCTTGTTCGCCGTCTGAAGCGCCGTCTCGTCGCAGAAATCCCCCACCCGCCCCTTCCGGCGCCGGATCATCAGCTTCACCCCAAACGACGCCGTCTTGCGATCATCCAGCCACGGGATCGAGATCAAGCTCAGCAACGACTCCACGATGGAAACAGAGCCCCCCCTCACTTCCTTCAGCACCTCCGCCACCACCGCCAGATCTTCGTCGCAGAAATCCACAGCCAGCTGATGATTGTTGCTCTCCTTCATCATCCCTTTCAGCGACTTGAGGCACTTCAATGTCTCCTTACGAAGCTTCTTCCTGCAGTCGCTGTAGGCGAGAAATTTTGATTCGATGTCGTTTCGGGACAATGCCCGGCCGCGTAAGGTGAATTGGAGGTCCAGGAGGTGTTCTTTCACTAAGGAGAGAACGTCCTTCGAGACACCACATACGTCGAGCATTCTTAGGGAGGCTTCTGAGGCTTGGTACAGCCATTTGGACTCGTGGGTCTTCCGGCCGCCGACGGTCACCTTCTGGATGAGCTCCGGGGAGTCGAGGAGGTCGTTTGCCGAGTTGTGCAAGTCTCTGAGTGCTGTAAAGTTAGGGAGCGCCATTCGTTGTCAACCAATTTTTTTCTTTCTTCTCTAAGGGGAATTTTATCGAACAGCTTGTGAGCGTGAAAAAAAAAAGCAGGTTTTTGGTGGTATGAGAAACTAAACGCAGGCAACCCAGTTATCGGCTGCTTGTGAGCTATAGAGATCTTAAAGTTTCTCAGGGAAATTCCGTCAGAAGTCTGATGTGCGAATACGAGAACACGAAGAAGCTTGTGGGGACTGTTTCTCGGGGGAATTTTATCGAACATGTAGTGTGCGTGAGAAGTTGAAGGCAGTCAATCCTGTCACCGGCTAGTGGGACGTTTTTATAAAGGAAAGCAGCTTATCCGGACCGGTGGTCAATCGTGGGGAGATTAAGGAAACGACAACTTGAGGAAATTATACGTATAAATTAGTGTACGGACACATAAGAAATTGTCCCAATGAAGGTTCCAAAGTGGTATAATGACAAAACGTAATGTGGGTTTGATTAATGAAGCTGTTGAGATAGAGCTGTTTGGGTTGGTTCTGTGTGACTTTCAGGAGGTTTGACCATAATTATATTATCAGGTCGTGTTCATGCACACAAAGGGAGGGGAAGAAGGAAGGTGCATTGCCAACTAGGTCTGTTTAATGATGTCTGCTTCAAATCAAGTTTGAACAAAACTACTTGTTACCGATTGATCGTTATTAAAAATATCGAACTCAGACTAAGTCGTATGTTTTCACACTATTAATATTTGGTGCTTAATGAAACTTATTTGTCTTAGTTTCGAGATTGAATTTATATAAAGAATATGAGGTGAATTTTGAATTCACGAAAAATAAAACATGAAATAGACACTATTTTTTCGTTGGGTGATAATTAATCTTGAACATGTATATGATGACATTATCATACTTTTAAGTTTTAACACATTTTAAGGAACTTAGACATAAATTACACTAAGATTAACGGTATGCACTTAAAGTGAATTTGTAACTTTTCAACACCAATTTATAACTCCGTCATCGATAGAGACAACTATCCAACCAAAAAGAAGCTCGAAAACGAGGGACGAGCCGGGATAAAAAAAGCATCGATGAACAAATTACAACTTTTCATTTCCCCTATCTTCTGCCCTGTATCGTCTTCCTCGGATCGCTGAAATTTTTGTTTTCTGTTGGGTATTTCAGGTATATGGACAAGAAGCTCTAGGGTAAATGTTTCCTAGCATTAGCGAAACGTCATTCTCACGACGACGAAAAAGTAGAAACGTAAACTGAACCTGCTCCTTTTGTTCTTGTCTGGACAAAACATGACAGGAGATCAGATTCAGCTTATATTAATGAGAGATCTTTTTCTTTAGATCCCCACTTAATTACAGTTAGATCAATGACCATGCACGTTTTGAAGATACAAAGAGGAAGCTGATAAGGAAGACGGGTCGGTTAGGAAAGCTCCTGGATGGATGTTTCGAATTGGGTCCACTTCGTGACTTTGGGCTATGCACCGTGAGGGCCGAATATATTTGGGCCCAACTCACTGGACGAGAAGTCGGTTTAATAAGATTCTCTCACTTCTTCTTTGCTTTTTCCCTATTTTAGTCAAAGCTGGGGATAGTGAGAGAGTGGTCGATTTTCAATGAGGCCGAAAGGTGGCAGAACAGACGAGAAAGTCACCGACATCATGGGTAAATTGCAAGGTTGGTCGCGGTCACCAAAATTACTAAAAGCATTTATATTTGGTCATTGAAAATATTTAATTCTATTCGTAGTCCCTAATTTTACATTTTCGTTTCATCATTAGTCACTTTCCGTCCAATTCCGTTAACTCTGTCCCAATGACGGTCAACTACAATAGTTGACCGTTAAATGTGGGCTGCATTCACCACCAATTTCCAAAGTCAACCTGAAATGGCCACCGATCGTGATGGATCCGTTGCCCACTCGCTCCTAGCTCTAACTTTCAGCTCCGAAATCACTCCCTTCTTGAACCGACAACGGAAGAAGTGACAACGGCGTCGATAACCACTAGAAACTGGCGCCTCCTTCGATCCCTCTGCTAGAATACACAACTCTGACCTTCACTGGGAAGCAAGGTTGTCAACCCGCGGGTCGACCCACTTTTACCCTGACCAGGTGAGAAAAACGGGCCATATGCACCCGCCGGGCTGACCGCTACAAGGTACAGGGTTAGAGGTCAAATTGTGTCATTTTTTTCTTTGGTTTGCGAAATGCGCCTATTTTCCGATTTGTCTTTTCGCCTAACTCAATCTTTGGAATCCTAAGTTGAACATTTGAATATTTATGTTATATAAGTGTGTGTGAATTTTCACTATATGTTGGATCTAAGTACGATATGTTATTTTGGTGTAATATTATATGTTATAAGTCATATGCTAGATAAGATTTGATATAATTTATGAGGATAAGTACAATAAAATGACTTTTTCTATATTTCCGGGCCAAACCGGGCTAAAACGGTTGACCCATTAACCCTTGACCCACTAGCTCGACCGGGTCCGGGTCAACTGTCACGGACCAACTCTTGGCCGTGCGGCACTTAGCACTCAAGTCTCGTTAGAGCGCTAAGTCAGCCTTGCTCGTATTCACTACTCAAACTCACAAGTATGGAGAAAAGCTCTAGAGATGGAAACTCTCAATTTCTGGATGAATGAAAAGTGATGGAGAGGGCTGCTTATATAGGCATCCTCTCCACTAAGTACAATGTACATGGCCGTCATAAATGAACGAACCTAGAAGTCCCCTCATACATGAACTAGCCTCATACATGAATGTAATCAATAGGTGCATGAATAAAACATAGGAAAGAGGGATGTATGTACATTGGTGCATGAATCGCAAGATGCATGCATGTACCTACATCCTTCTAGAACGATCTAGAGTATTCCGCGTAACATTCTCCCCCACTTAATCTCGCGACGCCCTCGTCGCGGACTCCGCATGAAATGCCTCGATCAAGTCTTTGTGACGCCATAGCGAAAGCTCCTTCTCCCATGTGATGTCGCTTTCTGGCCGCCCCTTCCACTTGACAAGATATTCCGCGTAGCTTGGGTGAACACCACGCCGAGGCACAACACGATGAGCCAAGATCTCCTCCACTTCGTGCTCATGTGTTGTGGTGACGAGAGTTGGTGCTCTCGTCGACTCCTTCCGCGCCCCATCTTCCTTGTCTTCATGATATGAATTCAATTGACTCACATGGAAGACGGGGTGAATCTCCAAGTGCGATGGCAACTCAACTTTGTACGCCACCGTACGAATCCGCTTCAAGATCGGATATGGCCCTTCATATCGTCGCAGCAGCCCCTTGTGCACATTTTTGAGGTGCTTGAATCGATGAGGGAAGAACTTCACCATCACCAAGTCTCCCTCCTCGAATTCCAAGTGACGCCGCTTCTTATCCGCCCACTTCTTCATCTTCTTCTTTGCTCGAGCGAGATAAGACTTCGCCAACTCCATCTTCTCGTGCCACCCTCCCGCAAATTTGTAGGCAGATGGGCTATTGCCCTTGTACCCCGTTGTCACCGTATTTGGTGTCAACGGCTGTTGCCCGGTAGCCAACTCGAACAGACTCATGCTCGTGGCTTCACTTCGGTGTAAGTTGTAGGAGAATTGGGCTACATCCAATAGCTTCACCCAATCCTTCTGGTTGGCACTCACATAATGCCTCAAGTAGACCTCCACCAAACCATTGACCCGCTCGGTTTGCCCATCCGTTTGAGGATGAAAGCTCGTGGAGAAGTTGAGATCGGAGCCCATCATCTTGAATAACTCCCTCCAAAACTTGTCGGTGAAGCGGCCATCTCTATCGCTGACGATGCTAACCGGGATGCCCCAATACTTCACAACGTGCTTGAAAAACAAGCGGGCTGCATCCTCGGCCGTCATGTCTTTGGGCCCCGCGATGAAGACGCCATACTTAGAAAATCGGTCGACGACGACCATGATGGAACCACACCCTTCGACTTTGGGAAGGCCGATGATGAAATCCATGCTCACGCTTTCCCAAGGCCGTTGTGGAGTGGGTAATTGCTCCAACAAGCCTGCCGGACTCCGCTGCTCCATCTTGTCTTGTTGGCAAACAAGACAAGTCTTGACGTAGAGTTCCACGTCATCCTTCATACGAGGCCAATAGTAAGCCTCCTCGATGAGAGCTTGTGTGCGCTCAATGCCGGGATGACCAGCCCACTTGGAGTCATGGCACTCCTTCATGATCTCCCTCCGTAGGTTGTCCCACCGCGGCACGAACACTCGCTCCCCCTTAGTCACGATGAGTCCACCTTTCATCCAAAACCGTCGAGTCTTCCCTTGCTCGATGTACTCGACCACGGTTTTGGCGAAGGGTTCGTGGCTAAGGCCTTCTTCAATCCTCTCCTTCAAGGGGAATAGCGGCTGGCTGATTGCGGCAAGTGCGCTCTTTCGGCTAAGAGCATCGGCAACAAAGTTGGCTTTCCCCGGCTTGTACTCTAGCACAAAGTCGAACTCCGCGAGGAAATCTTGCCACCTTGCTTGCTTGGGCGTGAGCTTCTTCTGTGTGAGGAAGTAACTCGTCGCCACATTGTCCGTTTTTACAACGAACTTCGACCCAAGCAAGTAATGGCTCCACGTTCTCAAACAATGGACCACCACCGTCATCTCCTTCTCTTGCACCGCATATCTCCTCTCGGCCTCATTGAGCTTGCGGCTCTCAAATGCAATTGGATTTCCCTCTTGCATCAACACTCCACCGATTGCAAAATCGGAAGCATCCGTTTGCACTTCATACGCCTTCGTTGGATCGGGAAGTGCTAGCACTGGCTCCTTCGTCACCGCATCCTTCAAGGCTTCAAATGCTTCGCGGCACCGATCCGACCACTCCCAAGCCTTGTTCTTCTTTAGAAGATCCATCAAGGGTGCTGCAAGAGCGGAGTATCCCTTGATGAATCTCCTATAATAGTTGGCCAGGCCGAGGAATGATCGCAACTCGGTGACCCTCGTTGGCGGCTCCCATCCTTGTATCGCCTCCACCTTGGCTTCGTTCATCTTTAGCTTGCCTCCGCCAATGATGTGGCCGAGGAAAGGAACCTCCGCGGCTGCAAACATGCACTTCTCCTTCTTGACGTAGAGCTCGTTGTCTCGAAGGACTTGGAACACTTGTCGCAAGTGCTCGACATGTTCATCGAGTGTGTTGCTGTACACCACGATGTCATCCAAGTACACCACCACGAAGCGATCCAAGAACGGCTCGAATACTTGGTTCATCAAAGTGCAAAAAGTAGCAAGAGCGTTGGTTAGACCAAAAGGCATAACTAAGAACTCATATGAGCCATACCGCGGCACGCATGCCGTCTTCGCCTCGTCCCCCTCGGCTATCCTCACTTGATAGTACCCCCAGCGAAGATCAAACTTCGTGAACCACTTTGCTTCTCCGAGTTGATCAAACAAGTCGCCAATATTAGGGATCGACCACTTGTTCTTCACCGTGAGCTTGTTAATAGCTCGATAATCGATGCACATCCGCAACGAACCATCTTTCTTCTTCTGGAACAAAACGGGTGCTCCATAGGGGGATTTCGATGATTGGATGAAGCCAGCATCCATCAACTCCTTGAGTTGCTTCCTCAATTCCTCCAACTCGGGAGGGGTCATGCGATAAGGTGCTCCCGCTGGTGGCGTCGCCCCTTGCTCAAGCTCGATCTTGTGATCGACTTCTCTTCTTGGCGGGAGCTTCTTTGGTAGTTCATTTGGCATCACATCCACGAACTCCTCCAACAC